CTCATTTGATGCAGTTGTCCAAGGTGGTATGTCCTTGTTTTAAATAGCATTCCTTTGATTTCTGGTGGGGTTGAGCATCACCATATATGTTTCACAAGTCTCTTTAGTGACTCGCTTAGTCGTAGCCTCTATTTTTTTCTTTGGGGCAATTTTGAGATGTTCCTGGCATTTTGCAGAATAGGGGTTGACGAACTATAGCCTGCAGGGCCATATGAAGCCTGCTGCCTGTTTTCATACAGCCCATGGGCTCAGAGTGGCTTCTGTGTTTTTGAATGGTTGAACAATGTGAAAAGAGTAACATTGTGTGATATTAGCACAATTATATGAAATTCAAATTTATTAGAACACAGCCAGGCCCATTCATTTATATACCGTCTAGGGTTGCTTTTGTATTGTTTGCAACAGACCTTATGACCCACAATATTTATTATCTGGCCCAGGACAGAAAAATTTTGTTAACGCCTATTCTAAAAAAGATAATTCTTTGCCTCTTTTTGGCATCATGACTATCTTTCCACAGCCTTTATTCTTCTGTCAGTTAAATTTAAGAGGTTTTTGTTTTTTTTATTTTTTAAAATTTTTTTTAGAGGTTTTTTTTTTTTAACAAAATAGTTTTAACCAAGAGTTTTTTAACTATTAATGTTGATATCATTAAACTCATTGCAGATTTCTTTTTTAAATTTTTAATTCTTTCCACTTTATCTAGGTATGATTGACACATAAGTTATATTAGTTGACTGTGCTGTGCCAAGTTGCTCAGTCGTGCCAGACTCTGCAACCCCATGGACTGTAGCCTACCAGGCTCCTCTGTCCATGGGACTCCCCAGGCAAGAATACTGGAGCGGGTTGCCAGTTCCTACTTATTGTATATTATTATAAGTAATACTATTCATATTAGTTGAGGGTGTACACATTGATGATTACAGTATATACATATATATGTATGTGACAATATATACATGTATATATATGTATGTATATATCACAAAAATGATTACCACAGTAGGTTTAACATCCATCACCTCACAGTTACAATTTTTTTTTCTGTGATGAGAACTTTTAAGACCTGATCGTTTAGCAATTTTCAAATATATGCCAGAGATTTGTGGGTTCCGTTCCAGACCTCCACAATAAAGCGAGTCCCACAATTTTTTTGGTTTCCAAGGGCATATGAAAGTTATGTCTACACTTTAGCCTATTAAGTGTGCAATAGAATTATGTCTAAAAAGATAATGTTCATACCTTAATTTTTAAAATATTTTATTGCTAAAAAGTGGTAAGCATCGGCTGAGCCTTCAGCAGGTCATAATCTTTTTTGCCGTGGTAACATCAAGGATCACTGATTACAGATCACCGCAAAAAATACAGTAATGATGAAAAAGCTTGGAATATTCTGAGAATTACCAAAATGTGACACAGAGACACGAAGGGACCAAATGCTATTGGAAGAATCGTGCCCGTAGGCTTGCTCCTTGCAAGGCCGCTATTGGGCTTCCCAGGTAACTCAGTGGGAAAAGAATCCCCCAGCCAGTGCAGGCGGCTCGGCTCAATCCCTGATCTGGAAAGATCCCCTGGAAAAGGAAATGACCACCTACTTCAATATTCTTGCCTAGGAGACCCCTGGACAGAGGAGCCTGGTGGGCTACAGTCCACGGGGCTGCCAAGAGTCGGACGGGACCGAGTGAGCACAGACCCTTCTGTTTTACCCCCAGTTCTCTCACCTGGGGTCTGTTCTGAGCCCTCTTTCCTCACCTCCTTTGGCCTGTTTCTTCCTGCAGCCATGCCCCACTGATTTCATCATTGTGGCTTTGGGAAGACGTGTTACTCTCTCCTAAGCCAGCTTCCCCATCCCTGCCCATTTTAGCTGGCCATGGACTTTTGTTCTTCCATATAAATTTCCATATAAATTTTGGTCACGGTTCGCTCCGTTTCCCAGTAGAATAACAATAATAACTATTATCAGTTCTGTTATTGTTATTTTAGTATTGCAGTGTCTGACCTTTAACTTCTCACAACTGGAAGGAGCCATCCCAGGTTTTGAAGGGCAGAGCCTGCTCTTCCATGGGGCAAAAGGGGCCACAGTGCTGCTCCGATTCACTCTTTTTTTTTTTCCCCACTTTTAAAAAATTTGGGGTAACCAGCATGTAACATAAAACTCTCTTAACCATTTCTCAGTGGCAATAAACATATTCACATTGCTGTGCAACCAACCTTACCATCCACGTTCAGAACTTTTATTTTATTTTATGGATTTATTTGCCTGTGCGGAGTCTTCACTGCTGCAAGGGTTCTCTCTAGTTGCGGTGCACGGGCTTCTCATTGCGGTGGATTCTCTTGTTGTGGAGCACAGGCTGTGGGGTGAGCGGGCTTCAGTAGTTGTGGCACGTGGGCTCAGTAGTTGCAGCTTGTGGGCTCTAGAGCGAAGACTCAGTAGTTAGTAGCAAGAGCACATGGGCTTTGTTGCCCTGAGGCACGTGGGATCTTCCCAGACCAGGGATCTAACCCGCGTCTCCTCCATTGGCAGGCAGATTCTTCACCACTGAGCTACCAGGGAAGCCTCCCAGAACTTTTCTGTCTTCCCAAATTGAGTATCTGTCCCCTTTAAACACTCCCCATCCTTCTCCCCCAGCCCCTTTCACCTGCCATCCTACTGTCTATCTCTGTGGATTTAACTCTTCTACAGACCTCGTGCAAGTGGGATCCTGCAAATCATGCAACATTTGTTCTGTGACTGGCTTCTTTCCTGAGCATAATGCTGTTAGTGTTAGTCGCCCAGTCGTGTCCTACTCTTTGCAACCTCATGGACTGTAGCCCTCCAGGCTCCTCTTGGCCATGGAATTTTCTAGGCAAGAATACTGGAATGAGTTGCCATTTCCTTCTCCAGGAAGTCTTCCCAATCCAGGGATCGAACCCAGGTCTCCTGCATTGCAAGCGGATTCTTCACCGTTAAGGTCTAAGCCACCAGGGAAGCCCAGAGCATAATGTTACTTTACCTGAATTTAACAGACCTCCCAGGTGTTTTCATCAGGAAGCCTGACTTTGGGCAACAATGATACTTTCACTGTCTCTTGTTACTTTCCACTTGACCACGTAGTGCTTTTGTCTGTCAGATGTGAATTTATTGACAAGATTTTTTTTAAAAAAAATCAGATTCCCGTAAAAACCTGGCGTTTGCTCTCGGTTCCCCACGGGAGTTGGAGCTCCCGACTCTGGAATCCGCCTGGACCAACCCCGCCCTGGGCTGGGGCGCTGTCGGAAGCTTTTATGGCCAATGTCTCATCCGTTCGATGCACTCTGCTGTGTCAAGTGTTTACTCCCTGTTCCTAGCTCAAGTTGAGTGTCGCCCATGGACTTGAGGAAGTAATTGCTACAGTTGTCAAAAAAAAGTTAAATGTTAAAGGGAATTAAAATGAATTGGTAAAGTGGGGACATGGAAGCCACACATGGCCTGGGATTGGGGGGGGGGACCTCAGTGCGTTCTGAGACCCGGGGAGCCACTCAAGGTCTCAGGACTTCTGTTCCTGGCTCCAGGCTGGTGATCGGGGGCTAGAACTCTCTGCCAACTCCACTCCTGTTTTCGCAGTGGGCACCCTCGGGATCCTGAGTCCTACAATGTCACCTTTGTTCTCAGACCAACTTGGGCGTTTTTTCCCCTGATTATGATAAAATACATATAGCATAGGGTTCCCCTGGTGGCTCCAATGGTAAACAATTTGCCAGCGATGCGTGAGACCCAGTTTGATTCCTGGGTTGGGAAGAACCTCTGCAGAAGGGAATAGTTACCCACTCCAGTATTCTTGCCTGGAGAATCCCATGGACAGAGTAGCCTGGAGGACTGCAATCCATGGGGTCACAAAGGGTCAGACACGACTGAGTGACTAACACACACACACACATAACATAAAAAGGTTCATTTTAACCATGTTTGAGTGTCCATTTCACATTGTTACGCAACTGTCCCCACCATCCACCCTGAGAACATTTTCATTGACCCAGAGTGAAACCTGCCTGGGTGGGGTTTTAACTTTAATTTTCTAATAGCCCTTATTGTTTTTTTCTTTTTCTTTTTCTGTCCACTCCCTGTGGCTACCCTTATTTCTTCTTTGTCCTGATTATTAAAAGGAGCACCTGCTTAATGTTGAAAATAAAGAAGCAGGAAACCAGGTACAAAATGTTATCTACAGCACAACACTATAGATATTTATAATATTGAAATAATATCATATTATAAATTATATTAAAATAATATTGTATATTATAATATAAATACACATAATATAAATATAAAATATTATAAAATATATTATACATACACATAATATAAATATAAAATAATATATATTATAAAATACTTTATAATATTGAAATAATATTATAAAGTGATAATATTAAGTCTTTTTTTTTTTTTAGTAAGTCTTATCAAAATGTAGCTGACAGTGCTCTTGACTTAACAAATGTTCGTCATAATCTTGTTGTGCAGATGGTGTTTTAAGCCGTCTCTCTCACGTTACTGTCTTTAGTGTGTATGGCGTCATGATGTAGGAAATGTCGTGTCTGAGACACAGAGAGGTTAAGTGACCTGCCTGAGGTCACACAGCTCTTTTGCGGGAGATTTGGGTCCTGACCATGACCACTATTTTCAGCTGTAGTTTCCAGACAACACTCAGTATGATGTCAGAAGGGAGGTCACAAGCCAGGATTATAGGGGTCATGTGATATTCCCTGACCCTGACTGGCTGTGAGGCAGGCGACAAACCAGAACTGGAATGGATCCTGCCACTTCTTTGCAGGGTGACCTTAGGCCTCATATGTAACAATCCAGGGTCTCAGTTTCCTCATATGTAACAATCCAGCTTCCACGTGGGAAGTTTTGATGGAGTAATGCAAGAATTAGCCCTTGGAGCACCTGGCCCAGCGTAGGTGACAAGAGGCAGCTATTATTACTGTTCTTGTTTTACTGTTGTTACCTGCAGTAAACGCCTCTTCTCCTGTCTCTTCAGGTCATCCACAGGCTCCTGCAGAATCGTCCTTATCACCCCCGGAGTCTGAGGGCGCCACCCAGGCGCAGCCAGAGAAGAACACAGGCCAGGTGCCTGCCCACGACGACACCACCATCAAGGAGCCCATCAGGCAAGCAGCCTGTCCGGAATCAGAGTTGGAGGAGTCTGGGGGTGCAGGTAAGCGGGTGTGGCTGCAGGGAGGACCAGGCGCCTGGAGCCCAGGCATGGGGTCTGGCTTTGGGAGGCTCTCATGGCACCACCCCTCCCCCTCCAGGAGGGGCCCAGGCAGGCGTGCGGTCCATCATGAAGCACAAAGAGGAGCCCACAGACCCAGAGGCCCACCGGAGGAGCCTCCAGTTCGTGGGAGTCAATGGCAGGTGAGAGATCCTGGGCTGAGCCCCTCACTTTGATTCATTCACTCAACCACAGCCCAGGAGACAGATGAGGAAACTGAGGCACAGGGAGGCCTGGTGGACTGACTGTCAGTCCAGTGCTGAGGTGGTGCTGTAACCACTGCATCACACTGCCCCACGGGAGGTGCTGTGTGCCCCCATGGAGCTCCTGGTCCACTGTGACCTGGGGCACTGATGGGCGGTCCCAGCCCAGCATGGTTGGAGCAATGGTGGGGATGCTCCGGCAGTGGGGGGGAGGGCCTGAAGGAGGCAGAGATGGCCCTGAGGAGAGTCACCGACAGAGGGGAACACGTGTGCTGCAGGACAAGCAGACCCTTGCAAGGCGTGGAGTGGGGGGTGGGGGTCTCCTAGTGGAGAAACATCCTGGATAAATGCTCTGAGGCAAGAGGAAGCCATGACATGAAAAGTGAGAGAGGACTTCCTGGGCAGTCCAGTGGTTAAGACTTCACCTTCCTGTGCAGGGGATGCAGGTTCGAACCTCAGTTGGGAATCTAAGATCTCTCTTGCCTCACAGCCAAAAAACCAAAGCATAAAACAAACAATATTGTAACAAATTCAATAAAGACTTTAAAAATGGTCTGCATCCAAAAAAAAAAAAATCTTAAAAAAGAAGAAAAAAAAAATGGGAGGCCTGGGGAACAGAAAGAGTTGAGGGCCTTGAACGCCAGGCACAGAAGCTTAGACTCTGTCACGAGATAGCAAAAAGCACGAGGGTCCTATTTGCAGTAGGACGAGGGTCTAAATCAGTACAACACCTGTGTGAGGAGCAAAGTGGGTTTCCCTGGTGGCTCAGATGGTTAAGAATCTGCCTGCAGTGTGAGAGACCTGGGTTCGATCAGTGGGTCAGGAGGATCTGCTGGAGAAGGGAATGGCAACCCACTTAAGGATTCTTGCCTGGAGAATTCCATGGACAAAGGAGCCTGGTGGGCTACAGCCCATGGGGTCGACTTGGAGCACCTGGCCCAGCGTAGGTGACAAGAGGCAGCTATTATTACTGTTCTTGTTTTACTGTTGTTACCTGCAGTAAACGCCTCTTCTCCTGTCTCTTCAGGTCATCCACAGGCTCCTGCAGAATCGTCCTTATCACCCCCGGAGTCTGAGGGCGCCACCCAGGCGCAGCCAGAGAAGAACACAGGCCAGGTGCCTGCCCACGACGACACCACCATCAAGGAGCCCATCAGGCAAGCAGCCTGTCCGGAATCAGAGTTGGAGGAGGCTGGGGGTGCAGGTAAGCGGGTGTGGCTGCAGGGAGGACCGGGCGCCTGGAGCCCAGGCATGGGGTCTGGCTTTGGGAGGCTCTCATGGCACCACCCCTCCCCCTCCAGGAGGGGCCCAGGCAGGCGTGCGGTCCATCATGAAGCACAAAGAGGAGCCCACAGACCCAGAGGCCCACCGGAGGAGCCTCCAGTTCGTGGGAGTCAATGGCAGGTGAGAGATCCTGGGCTGAGCCCCTCACTTTGATTCATTCACTCAACCACAGCCCAGGAGACAGATGAGGAAACTGAGGCACAGGGAGGCCTGGTGGACTGACTGTCAGTCCAGTGCTGAGGTGGTGCTGTAACCACTGCATCACACTGCCCCACGGGAGGTGCTGTGTGCCCCCATGGAGCTCCTGGTCCACTGTGACCTGGGGCACTGATGGGCGGTCCCAGCCCAGCATGGTTGGAGCAATGGTGGGGATGCTCCGGCAGTGGGGGGGAGGGCCTGAAGGAGGCAGAGATGGCCCTGAGGAGAGTCACCGACAGAGGGGAACACGTGTGCTGCAGGACAAGCAGACCCTTGCAAGGCGTGGAGTGGGGGGTGGGGGTCTCCTAGTGGAGAAACATCCTGGATAAATGCTCTGAGGCAAGAGGAAGCCATGACATGAAAAGTGAGAGAGGACTTCCTGGGCAGTCCAGTGGTTAAGACTTCACCTTCCTGTGCAGGGGATGCAGGTTCGAACCTCAGTTGGGAATCTAAGATCTCTCTTGCCTCACAGCCAAAAAACCAAAGCATAAAACAAACAATATTGTAACAAATTCAATAAAGACTTTAAAAATGGTCTGCATCCAAAAAAAAAAAAATCAAAAAAAAAAAAAAAAAAAAAATGGGAGGCCTGGGGAACAGAAAGAGTTGAGGGCCTTGAACGCCAGGCACAGAAGCTTAGACTCTGTCACGAGATAGCAAAAAGCACAAGGGTCCTATTTACAGTAGGACGAGGGTCTAAATCAGTACAACACCTGTGTGAGGAGCAAAGTGGGTTTCCCTGGTGGCTCAGATGGTTAAGAATCTGCCTGCAATGTGAGAGACCTGGGTTCGATCAGTGGGTCAGGAGGATCTGCTGGAGAAGGGAATGGCAACCCACTTAAGGATTCTTGCCTGGAGAATTCCATGGACAAAGGAGCCTGGTGGGCTACAGCCCATGGGGTCGCAAGAGTCAGACACAACTGAGTGACCAACACACTTTCTAGCATAAGCAGCAAAGTGTAACAGGTACCAAAGGGTAGAAGGGAAAAGCAGTGCCCCTCCCTGACCCCCCAAACATGATCACCATCACAGGCAGTGTTTATTGAGCACTTATTGCATCCCTGGAGCCCTCTCAACTTCATAGTGCCACCATCCCCATTTAACAGATAGGGAAACTGAGGCCCAGAGAGGTCAAGTGCCCCTCCCCTACCACCTACAGCGTCTCCCCCAGGTATGAGTCCTCCTCCGAGGACTCCAGTACCGCAGAGAACTTCTCGGACAATGAGAGCACAGAGAACGAGGCCCCAGAGCCAGAGGAGAGGGTTCCACGTGTGGCTGAAGCCCCCCAGCTCAGGCCCAAGGAGACGGTGAAGGCCAAGACGAGCCGGGAGGAGTCTCCACTGAACCAGGAGTCTCTGCACACGCCCACAGCTGAGGGGGCATCAGGATCAAGTGCAAAAGACGAGATCCGGTCAGTTTTCTGGGTGGGAGGGCTTCAGGCAGGGTCTGGGGCAGAGAGGGTGACCTCTGCCTCAGATCCCACCATTCACGCCCTCTGAGGGGAAACTCCCATCAGTCATGTACACCGTAGTCTAAATTAGTGAACCCATGCTTTCTCATTCTGGGCATCTGAAAGTCTGATGGCTTTGATAAAGGGCCTGAGAGGGACAATTTGGGCTGTTGGGGTTCGGGTTTAAGGGGCAGGCCAAGTCTGTTCTTAAGTCACCCACCTTCTTTGGGCCATTTTGCCCCACCTGTCCATCCTGTATATGTCTCCTGTTTCTCCCCCTGATGAAAACTCCATCCTCAGAAAAAGATTTCCATCTGCTGCTGGCCATTTGGAATAAAGTTTGACCCATGTGTCCGTTTTCTCTTGGGGTCTGTGTGTCTCCCGTGTCTGCCCCTTGGGGGTGCTGTGTAAAAGTGTCTGAGAAGGAGGGGGGTCTGAGATTCCACCACTCAGGGGAGCCCTGGCAGGACTGGGTGAGGGCCACGGGGCACAGTGTTGAGACCCTCTCTGAGCACCCCAATTGGACACGGTGGGTGGAGGACACCCAGGAGGCTGAGGCGAGTGCTCCTGAGATAAACTCCCCTTCGTCTGCCCCTGGCAGGATGGAGCTGAGTCCTGACCTCATCTCAGCCTGCCTGGCCCTGGAGAAGTACCTGGAGAACCCCAAAGCCCTCACCGAGCGGGAGCTGGTACGGTGGGGCCCTGGGCCTGAAGTGGGGGGGCTCCTTTTCCTCCACCACCCCCCCCGGCTTCTCCTCATTCACAGTGTCTCTCTATGCTTTGGGTCATGGGTACCCCAGGATCCTAGCTGGGAACTGGTGGGCGAGGGGCTCCAAGACTTGAGTGGTGGTCTTTGGAGAGGTGCCAGGGAGGAGGGAGGACCACGGATGGTCACCTGCCAGCAAAGCGAGCCTCGGTTCCTGTTCCTTCTGGGGCTTGAGGAAGGGGCTGCTGTATTTCCTCTGATGGGTGTGTACACTTGACCTTGAAGATCCCATCCAGGGTGGAGATGCTCACACCTTCCTCTGGGGACATACCTAGGACCACGGGGTCTACACTTCCCTTTAGGGCAGGGGACACTATGCTTTCCTCCAGGGGGGCTCACCTAGGGTGGGGCACCCACACATCCCCTCTGGTTCAGGGTGGGCTTCCTCTGGGCCGGGGTGGGCTGCCGTGGCCCTCACGCCCCTCTTCCCCCCCCCCGCCCGCGTCCAGAAGGTGGCCTACACCACGGTGCTGCAGGAGTGGCTGCGCCTGGCCTGCCGCAGCGACGCCCACCCGGAGCTCGTGCGGCGCCACCTGGTCACCTTCCGGGCCATGTCGGCGCGGCTGCTGGACTACGTGGTCAACATTGCCGACAGCAATGGCAACACAGCGCTGCACTATTCCGTGTCCCACGCCAACTTCCCCGTGGTGCGGCAGCTGCTAGACAGTGGTGAGCCCTGGGGATCGGGGCAGGGGGCCCCAGTGATGGGAGAGCTGTCACCCTCCCAGTCTGATGGAGGAGACATTGCTTCCCAGTCTGGTGGAGGAGATGCCACCCTCATTGTCTAGTGGAAGAGACACCGCCCTCCCAGTCTGATGGGGGAGATCTCACCCTCCCAGTCTGGTGAGGGAGATACTGCCCTTCCCGTCTGATCAGGGAGACACCGCCCTCCCAGTCTCATGGGGGAGACGCCGCCCTCCCAGTCTCATGGGGGAGACGCCGCCCTCCCAGTCTCATGGGGGAGACGCTCCCCTGCCCTCCCAGTCTCATGGGGGAGATGCCGCCCTCCCGCGCTGGTGAAGGGATAGAGGCCCTACCTGTGGCCCCAGTGTCCTGGAAAAGGCAGCCATGGCCTTATGGAAAACATGTGGCCCTTCTACCACCCCAGTGACCCCTGTATAACAAAGGTGACACCCCTGGAACCCTAATCTGAGGAAAGGATGTGGCTTCCCATCTGGGGCTCAGAGACAAGTTGTGGTCCACAATTAGATGTGACTCTCCACTAGTCAATCTGATGAAGGAGGCAGAGCCCACAGTCTAATGGAGGGAGACATAGGCCAGACTGAAAGGTGACTAGGGGGCCTTTCAGATTAATGAGGGAGACACAAATCCTACTTTCAGCCCTAAATTTGGGAGCCCAGTCTGATGGAGGAGTCACAGACTTCACTGTTAGGAGCCGCTCCCATAAGAGAGATGGGGACCCAGGGGCAGAATAGGGTTGTCAGTCTAAGAAAAAGAAGGAGTGAGTCCACACCTAGACTAATGGAGGAGACATGATCCCCAGCGCTCATTATGGTAGTGAACAAGGCTTCTAGTCTGATGGCAGAGACATGGCCTGGTCCTCAGGGCCCCTCCCCCAGCCAGCATCACTGAGGGGTCTGAGACCCAGCATCGGGGGTCTGAGACCCGATACCTTCCTGGTCCACCCCCGGCAGGTGTCTGCCAGGTGGACAAGCAGAACCGCGCTGGCTACAGCCCCATCATGCTCACCGCCCTGGCCACCCTGAAGACCCAGGATGACATCCAGACCGTCCTACAGCTCTTCCGGCTTGGAGACGTCAATGCCAAAGCCAGCCAGGTATAGGCCCTTGGCGCCGGCACAGCCCTTCCCACTTACGATGTCCTAGCCCTGCCCAGAGCCAAGGCAGGAACCCACACTCCACAGGCAGAGAAACTGAAGCGCAGAGAAGTATTCATTTCCTTGGGGTTCAACTAGAGGAGGGGGACTTGAACCTGGGGGTCTAGCTCCAGAGCCCCATTCTTTAAAAAAAAAAAAATTATTTCTTTGGCTGTGCCAGATCTTAGTTGCCACATATGGGCTCTAGTTCCCTGACCAGGAATCAAACCTGGGCCGCCCTACTTTGGGAGCTTGGAGTCTTAACTACTGGATGACCAGGAAGTCCCAGACCCTGCTTGCTTTTTTACGGATTTATTTTTAATTAAAAGAATTGTATTAGTGGTTTAGGTGTGTTTTTTTTTTAAATGGAGTATAATTGATTTATAATGTGTTATTTCTGGTGTACAGCAAAGTGATTCAGTTGTATATATACATATATATATAAAATTTTTCATTATAGGTTATTACAAGGTGTTGAATAAGGTTCCCTGTGCTATACAGTAGGACCATGTTGTTTATTTTATATACAGTAGTGTGTATATGTTAATCTCAAGCCTCTAATTTATCTCTCCTTCCCCACCTTTTCCCCTTTGGTAGCCATGTTTATTTTTTTTTTGCTATGTCTGTGAGTCTGTTTCTGTTTTATAAATAAGTTTATTTGTATCATTTTTTTAGATTCCACATATATGTGATATCATATGATATCTGGCTTTGTCTGATTTACTTTGCTTCGTGTGATCATCGCTAGGTCTATCCATGTTGCTGCAAATGGCATTATTTCATTATTTTTTATGGCTGAGTAGTATTCCATTGTACCACATCTTCTTGGTCTCTTCATCCATCAATGCTTTCATGTCTTGCCTATTGTAAAAGTGCTGCAATGAGCAATGGGGTACAAGTATCTTTCTGAATTAAGAGTTTTCATCTCTTCTGGGTATATGTCCAGGTGGTCTACTTTTTTAAAAATGGAGGTGAATTGCACATACAATGAACCCTCTTAAGATGACCAAGCTGGTAGCATTTAGCATAGCTGCAGTACTGTGCAATCTCTACCTCTGTCTGCCTCCAGAACACCTTTACACCAACAGGAGACTTGGCACCCGCAGCTGTCACTTCACTCCCTTCCCTCCCCCAGCCCCAGCCCCCTCGGCCTGCTTTCTGTCTCTGCGGATTTGCCTGTTAGGGATATATTATATAAACGGAGTCATGTAGTATTGTGTCCTTTTGTGTCTTAGCTCTTGTCACAGAGCATAATTTCTTTATTTGGCTTTGCCTGGTCTTAGTTGTGGCATGTGGGATCCAGTTCCCTGACCTGGATGGAACCCAGGCCCCCTGCATTGGGAGCTGGGAGGCTTAGGCACCAGACCACCGAGGAGGTCCCTGGACGTTGGTTTTTGCTGAGATTTAACCTCGTACCTCAGTCAGTAAAAAATCTGCCTGCAATGCAGGAGACCTGGGTTCAATCCCTGGGTCGGGAGGATCTCCTGGAGAAGGAAATGGCAACCCACTCCAGTATTCTTGCCTGGAGAATCCCATGGACAGAGAAGCCTGGCAGGCTACAGTCCATGGGGTTACAAGAGTCAGACACGACTTAGCCACTAAATTACCACCAACTTGTAAACAGAAAGTGTACAATTCTTAGCTCAACACATTTTACTTATGTTTGTACCTGTGACTTAGGAATCTGATTTAAGTGGATATATGGATGGATAGCATCACTGATTCAATGGACATGAACCTGGGCAAACTCTGGGAGATAGTAAGGGACAGGGAGGCCTGGTGTGCTGCAGTCCACGGAGTTGCAAAGAGTCTGATATGACTTAGCAACTAAACACCAACAACAGCAAGGGATGGGGAGACACAGCATGTGCCCGAGGAGGAGACATTTAAGCTGAGACCTGAGGGATGAGAAGGAACCGGCAGTAAAAAAAAGGGATCAGCAAGTACAAAGGCCCAGTGGTAGGTAGGATTGTTCGAAATGTAGAAGGAGGCCCATGAGTGGAGGTGCAGTTAGCATCAGAGTACTCAGGAACCATGGAAGGTTCTGGAGCAGGGGTGTCACCCTCTGGGGCCTGCATGATCCATAAGCCTATTCCTTTGCCCTATCCAGGCGGGGCAGACAGCCCTGATGCTGGCGGTCAGCCACGGGCGCGTGGACGTGGTCAAAGCCCTGCTCGCCTGCGAGGCGGACGTCAACGTCCAAGATGACGACGGCTCCACGGCCCTCATGTGTGCCTGCGAGCACGGCCACAAGGAGATCACAGCACTGCTGCTGGCCGTGCCCAGCTGTGACATTTCCATCACCGACCGTGTGAGTCCCCGCCCTGGCGCGCCCAGGGGGGTGGGTGGGTGAGAGCACAGCACGGGGCATCAGCATAGCAACCGATGCTTTGCAGGATGGGAGCACGGCTCTGATGGTGGCCTTGGACGCAGGACACAGTGAAATTGCATCCATGCTGTATTCCCACATGAACATCAAGTGCTCGGTGAGTCTCAGCCCTAGCTGGGAAGGGGGTGGGGGCTCGGACGGGGGATGGCATACAGGGACCACGCCAAGGGCTGCAGAGTCAGCTGTTTGTTGAACCTTCATGGTGCCCCCATGAGGAGACAAGACACAAGAGCTAAGACTGTGCAGCTATCCTGGTTATCACAGGATTCAAACCAGATCTGTCTGGTTCCAAATCATGTTCTTCATCACCATGAGGAGGACTTTGGCATTTACTCGAAGTGTGTCATTGTATTCAAGGCCTTGAGAAGTTTCACTGTAAAGAAGCCTAACTGTGTCTTAATGGGGAATTTCTCAGATTTGACCCTAGAAATCTGGGTTTTTAAAAAAAAAAATCATACCCATTAGCAAAATGCTCTTCTGGAAGCATAACAGGAGGATAACATTGATGTTCGTTGTGTCCTGAGTGCTTGATGGAGGAGAAAGCCCTTCCAGTCTGATGGGAGAGGCAGGGGCAGTCCTCATAGGTCTGCAAAGCATGCCCTTGTCTGATGAAAGAGACAAGCCCTTCTAGTCTGATGGCAATGTGTGTGCTCAGTCGTGTCTGACTCTTTGCGACCTCATGGACTGTAGCCCACCAGGCTCCTCTGTCCATGGGATTTCCCAGGCGAGAATACCAGAGCGGGTTACCATGTCCTCCTCCAGGGGATTTTCCCAACCCAGGGATCAAACCCACGTCTCCTTCATTGGCAGGCGGATTCTTTACCACTGAGCCACCTGAGAAGTGCCTGCTAGTCTAATGGACTGTATACCAAAAATGCCTCCCGAGCAGGATTTCCAGAACCTTCCACAAGAACCCTATTCAGTTGCATAATGTACTTTTACTGTGACCATTTTTCAGGTGGGGAAGCTGAGACTTAGAAGGTTCCATTCTTGGTCCAAAGCCTCACAGACAGGAAGGGGCAGAGACCTTAGGGTGTGAATCTAGACTTCAGACTGGAACCTCTCTGCCTGCTCCTCCTCACCCCCACCTCACACTTGCCCTGGCCTCCCTGAGGCATGTCTGGGGCCAGGTTTGAGGGTGGCGAGGTAGGTGTTTACCACAGCAGTTTCCTCAAATAGTCCAGGAGAGAGAAGGTTGCTGAGACATAAACCATCTGGCTCCTGCTCAGCTTGCAGGTTCTGAGACTCCGAGTCTTCTCAGCATCACTGCTTAGGGTCTTAGGTGCTCAGGGGATCCCCTTGGGATCAGCTCTGGGCCTCCATGTCCACACTGGGAGATGGGGGTGATGGGGCTGGGTGGTGTCCTGCTGTCTGACATGTCCTGCTCCCAAGGGCTCCACAGGGACGGATCACAATCCTCCATCATTGTCCTCTGGGACCACTGCCGTTGCCTGCGCACTGCTTCTCTGGCTCGCATCCTCAGTGCCCCCTCCACTGTCCTCCTCAAAGTGGCCAGAGGTCACTGTGAGCACCTGAGTCGGGGTACAGCCCTCCTCTGCTCACAGCCCTCTGTGACTCCCACCCCGCTTGGAGTGGGGTCATCCTCAAAGCCCACCTCCCTGCACTCTTACCTCCCCCTTCCTTGCTCACTCTGTTCCAGCCACACTGGCCTGATTGCCGCTCCCGCCTCAGGGCCTTTGCACTTGCTCTTTCCCCCGCCCGGAACACCCTGCCCCTTGGGTGCCCCCCAACATCCTTCAGACGTCACCCTGCCAGACCACCTGCTCTCCCCTGTCACTGCCACCTTATCACTCAGGAAGAACCCTCCACTGCATTCATCTGTGAGCATCTGTGAAGCTATCTCCCCAGCAGTGTCACCTCCTTGAGGCCAAGGAACCATGGCTTCTTGCTCACTCACCACAGGCACAGGGCCAGCCAGCAAAGTCGCCACCTCAGACCCCCAAGGGGAGGCCAAACTAAAGGAATTCTGCCTCTCATTTCAGTTTGCCCCGATGTCAGATGATGAGAGTCCTGCATCATCCTCTGCAGAGGAGTAGCTGTGAGAAGAGCCCCAGGTGCCACTCCTGGGGACCAGGCAGCCCCGGAAAGAACTGGCCCTCGTCTCCTCCCTGCCCAGCCCCCACTCGATCCACCAAGGTCCCGGGATCAAAGGCAATCGGGGTTTTCCTCTGCTTCCCAGGGGGAGACCCCAACAGCGTGGAGACTTCAGATGAAAGTGGGTTTTTTCCCAGTACCCTGGTTCAAAGCAGCCGAAGCACAGACTGGAGCTAAACTCGTATGTAAATCAGCGCCAGTGGCTGGCTCTGAGGCGTGGGTTTGTGAGGAACGCTGAGAACAATCAACTGGCAATTATAGATGGAGGAGGGTAAGAGGGAAAAATATTGTATTTCTGAATCACACAGTTGGAGGGGGAAAGGGGGGAAAAATGACTTACTTGTTGCCAAATTTGAAAGTCACTGGAATCGTGTATTTTCACTTTAAGCCTAAATGTTGTTACGCACGGATCGCATCAAGAGTGGCCTGACACCCGGTCCCCCTCCACTTAACTGTCTGGTATACAATTGAGTTCTGTCCGCTGCCCCCTGCTCAGGCGACTTTCTTGGTGGCATTCTCTTGTGGCCTCTTCACAAAGCAGGTTCTGTCTCTGTCATCCAGGGCGGGAAGTTTAGTCGTTTCTTCTGCCTTCTATTCTTCCCACTGCGAGCAACCCCCCCCCACCCCCGCCCCCACTAAGGTGTGGGGTTCAGGAGCCAGCCGCCGAGGTGTGCAAGTTGTGCCTTTCTTGAGATTCCCCAGAATCTCCTCCATGCAGGGGGGCCCTGGCAAATATTCATCTTCCTAGAAAATCCTTTAGACCTGGACATGTAGGAAATGAATCCAGTCCCCACAGGGGTGCCTACATCCCTAGGCTTAGAACCCCAGTGACGAGGCCATTCTTCTCCCAGACTCCAGAATGTCTCTCCTCTAAGGAAAGAAAACAGGGCATGAGATTGTTGGCAAGCATAGGCCCAGTTCCAAAAATCCCATGTGTGCTCGATTAAAAGTTGGCTGCCCCCGAGGGCTCCCAGTGCAAACTTAAAGAGACAGAGCTTTGCCGAAAACCAAACAAGGGCCAGCTGGTTGTTGTGTTTTTTTTTTTTTTAAACAACCTACAGGCTTTCCGGAGCCGCCTGGAACACAGCCTGCTGGAAACGGGGCTCTCCCAAAACACGCAGTTTCCTGCATGGCCTATTTTGTCTCAGAATCGCAACATAGTTTTCTTTCCCGTTCCTTCCTTTTGTGACCAAAAAAGTAAGAGAAAAGGAAACAAGGCGGGGGAGGAGGGGGACAGGTTCTAAGCCTCAAAAAGTGCCTTGTGACTGGGGAGTGAGATCCTTTAGTCTTCAGACGTCCTGTCCTCTCTTGTCCAGCTCTCAGCATAGCCACCAGGGTGGGCGCTAAAACCCCAGCAAGACGGGTCAAGCCCTCGGCACTACACGCGTTCATTCAACAAAGCCAAGTGCTGGCTTCTCTCCTAGAAAAGTAGGTTTCCTGGCCTGATGGAGTCTGCTCACTTTGATTATGATGGAAGGGATAGTACCTAAGACAAGAGAGCTTGGACGGTCAAAGGAGAGAGACACCCCCGTTTGTGTGTGTACGTGTGAGTGTAAATGAAAAGGAAGGGAAACCCAAGCTGACTGGGGGGTAACCACTGACAGGAGGCCACAGCTTTGGGCAGCTTTGAGAAGCGGTACGAGAGTTGTGTGTCTATGTGTCTGGCCCTGGAGCCATGGGTGCGTTTATTTTAAGCTTCTAGAAGCAGCTCATTGACCACCGCGCCCCCACCTCCCAGCCCCACCGTGAGTCCATAAATATCCCTGTGTGTTCCTTTCTCCCTGCCCTTACCCCTTGGGCTTGGCGTGGTAGGTTACAGGGGGTTCTGTGCCTGACCCCGCTCTCTTCTCGCATGTATTCAAGACCTTTTACTTCACTTTCCGACCATGGTACGTCCATAAAGACAGTATTACACTTAAATGAAGTATTCCTTTTTGTAATCATTTTTTAGAAGGTAAAGGAATTTAATAAAGCTACCTTATGAGAAGGCCAAAGTGTCTGTGTCTGATGTTTATCTTATTATCTTTTTATTTTTTAATCAGTTTTTAAAAGTTTGGCTGAGCTAGGTCTTTGGTGAGGCACACAGGCTTAGTTGCCTGTGTGATCTTAGCATGTGGGATCTTAGTTCCCCAACCAGGGATCAAACCCACATCCCTTGCATTGGAAGGGGGATTCTTAACCACTGGACCACCAGGGAAGTCCTTGTATTCCTCGTGAAGCTTTAAAATAGATTTCTTTTAAAAAATGGACTTATTTGAACAATGTTCAACACTGCAGAAAAGTGGCAAGACTATTAAAATAAACGCCCTTATGCTCCGCCCTACACTGACACTATCCAATACTGCAGTCACTACCCAGCTGTGGCAATTTCCATTTAAATTCAAATCAGTTGTAATGAATTCATACTCAGTAGCTGCTCATAGCTTGTGGCTCCCAGACTGTGCCGCAGAGATACAGAACACAGTCACTGTGGCAGAAAGTTCTAAACAAACCAACTGTGGACACCTCAGAAAAAAAGTTTCCTGATTTTTTTTCTTCATGACAAAATAATTTACAGTGACTGTAAAAGGCAAAATTTAAACAGTAATGAAAACATCTGGCACATGGGAGGGTGCCATGGTCCCATTTGGTAGAAATGTGCACCATTGTCAACACTTGGAGCATCTCCCGCCAAACATTTTCCTGACAGGCTGAGTATTAAAATACTTTGTTTTCCTGCTTTATTTTTTTATTGAGGCAGCATATACCTTTCGTGTATGTGAAGTCTCTCAGTCGTGTCCGACTCTTTGCAACCCCATGGACTGTAGCCTATCAGGCTCCTCCGTCCATAGGATTTTCCAGGCAAGAGTACTGGAGTGGGTTGCTATTTTCGTGTATGAGTGAGTCGTGTATAAAAGCTGGGGGCTTCCCTGGCAGTCCAGTGGTTAAGACTTCATGCTCCCAATGCAGGGGACATGGGTTTGATCATGGTTAGGGAACTAAGACCCTCCATGTTGCACAGTGCAGCAAAAAAAAAAAAAAAGTGTTCAGCTCCGTGGCAATTTGAAAAGTGAACATCCTCCCGTTACCAGCACAAGGACAGGAAGGGGAGTATCCTCAGCCCCTCCCCTCTCCAGTCCTGGGACCTCTCTCCCTCTCTTCCCTGAGGATAACTGATAATGGATGATTGGTCTCCTGATTCTCACTTCCTCTGTTTTCCCTCTGGACCAGGAGATAATGGGTGGTTTTCAGAGGTTATAGGAAGTCCTAGAAATTTTATGCAATGTTGTATATTTCTGAGTGGAAGGTTCACTGATCTTGTCAGTTTTCGGAAGAGTCTGTGGTTCATGAGCCAAGAAGAGACCTTTTAGATATTAAAAAAAAAAAAAAAAGAAAATGATAGTGGGAAGCTGCTCTAAAGCACAGAGAGCTCAGTTCAGTTTGATGACCCCAAGGGTGGGGATGCGGGAGGGGATGTGTGTATACACATAGCTGATTCACTTTGTTGTATAGCATAAACCACACAACATTGGAAAATGATTATACTCCAATTAAAAAAAAAGATAATTGCAAAGAAAAGAAATATTGTTCAGAAACTCCCTGGCAGTCCAGAGGTTAGGATTTGGTGCTTTCACTACTGTGGTTCAGGTTCAATCCCTGCTTGGCGAACTAAGACATCTGCTGTCTCCCAGAGCTTGCTCAAACTCATGTCCATTGAGTCGGTGATGGTACCTAACCATCTCATCCTCTGCCACAACCTTCTCCTTTTGCCCTCAATTTTGCCCAGCATCAAAGTCTTTACTAATTAGTCGGCTGTTCGCATCAGGTGGACAAAATATTGGAGCTTCAACTTCAGCATCAGTCATTTCAATGGATATTCAGGGTTGATTTCCTTTAGGAATGACTGGTTTGATCTTGCAGCAAAATATACATAACATAAAATCTACTGTATTAACCATTTTTAAGTATATAGTTCGGTGACAGTAAGTACATTCACATTGTTGTGCAACCCTCCCCACTATCCATCTCCAGAAATCTTTTCATCTTCCCAAAGTGAAACTCTGTCCCCTTTAAACATTCACTCCCCATCCCCCTCCCCCAGTCACTGGCCCCCGCCTACCTACTTTCTGTCTCTATGAATCTAGGGACCTCCCATATGAGAAATCTTACAGTATTTGTCCTTTCATGTTTGGCTTATTTCACCGAGTATCATGTCCTCTAGGTTTGTTCATGTCGTAGCAAATGTCAGAAGTTTCATCATTCATTAAAATTTTTTTCTTATTATTTATATATTTGGCTGTGGCAGATCTTAGTTGTGGCATGTTGGATCTTTGATCTTAGCTGGGGCATGTGGAGTCTTTATAGCTGTGACATTTGAACTCTTAGTTGCTGATTTAGCTCCTCAACCAGGGATCAACCTGGGGCCCCCTGCATTGGGAGTGAGGAGTCTTAGCCTCTGGACCACCAGGGAAGTCCTAGAAATTCCTTTATTCTTAACAACTACTGATAAAGAAGGACTTACTTCTGTCACACTGATAATTGTTTTCTATGTATCTTACAACTCTTTCGTCTTTCATTTCCTGCATTACGTTTTCTTTTGTGTTTAATTTTTTTAGTGAAACATTTAAATGCCTCTCCTATTTCCTTTTGTGTATATTCTACAGCCATTTTCTTTGTGGTTACCATGGGGATCACATTCAACATCCTAAAGTTATAATACTCAAATTTGGATTCCTACCAGCTTAATGTCAATAACACACAAAACCACCTCTTCACGGCTCCATCCCACTGTTTTTCAGTTGTTGGTGTCACAGAATCACATCTTCAGACGTCATGTGTCAAAGAACATCAACCAATAAATGTTCAAATACATTAGCCTCAAGATTTCCCTCGTAGTCCAGGGGTTAAGAATCGCCTTACAATGTAGAGGACACGGGTTCCATCCCAGGTCCGGGAAGATCCGACATGACAAGAAGCAACTAAGTCCGTCTGCCAGTACTACTGAGCTCGCAAGCTGCAAGCAGTGAAGCCCATGCACTTAGAGCCCACACTCTACAACAAGAAAGCCATCGAAGTCAGAGGCTCTCATACCTCAACTAAGACCCAGGGCATCCCTCATTCGTGTCCAACTCCTTGTGACTCTATCCACCAGGCTCTTCTGTCCATGGGATTTCCCAGGCAAGAATACTGGAGTAGGTTGTCATTTCCTTCTCTAGGGGATCTTCCCGACCCAGGGATCGAACCTGCATCTCCTGCATTGGCAGGCAGATTCTTTATCACTGAGCCAGCAGGGGAGCGGGAGGTCCCAATAGCCATAGATTATATTTAGGTTTTCTGCCATCAAAATGCTACATCTTTTTCAAAAAGCAAGATTCCTAATTGTCTCTACTCTTGATACCAGAGCTCGGAGGCTGTTCTACTCCAGGATGTGGTCGCTGGAAGATACTTTCACCTGTAGGATTTCAGGCCATTCTTCTGTGAAGCTCTGCTTTGAAATGCCAGCTTGCAAAACAGTTGAGATCTATTAAGAAACTTCCTGCTCTTAAAACCTAGTGAACTTGATCTACAGAGATGGAGGTTGTTTAAATGGAGAGTCAAACTGTGAAGGTACCTTTTTCCCTTGCAGGTCTGCCTTGGTCCCTGTGCAACCACGTTCTTGGGGAGATGAAGGTGATGCTGGTAGGGTATGATGTTACCATGGAGATGACTGGGACTGATCCTATGAACCATGTTCTTGGAGCAGTGCGAGCGACACTGGTAAGGTATAATGTTACCATGGAGACAGCTGGGCCTGGTCCTCTGAGCAGCAATCATGCTAGCTATCATCCTGGCAAAAAGGGTGAGAAGAAATTAATATGCCAGCAGCTCCAAGGGCACGTTACTGCTACAAATTCTGTGCTAGTTTTCGTTTCTACAGTCCATGAATATCTCCTGGAACCACTGTGAAGATGCCATCTGCAAAATCGCCAGAGAGGTTATCAGGAGAATCTTTCAGTTCACCCTCTGAAGAAGGTTTGTTACAGATCCACAGCTTGATAAAGCAGAGATGTTTGTTGCCTTTGTCTTAGAGCACAAACACAAAAGAAGAAAGAAAAAGAACAAAAAAGTTCACCTCAGCATCAGTCTTTCTAATGGATATTCAGGGTCAATTTCCTTTATATATATTTTTTTCTTTTTTTCAATTTCCTTTAGGATTGAGTGGTTTGATCTCCTTGCAGTCCAAGGGACTCTTTAGAGTCTTCTCCAGCACCACAGTTTGACAGCATCAATTCTTTGGGGTTTCTTTTACAAGGGCACTAATTCCACTCATGGGGGATCCACCCTCCTGACTTAATCCCTTCCCAAAGGCCCCGCCCCCTAATATCAGCATCTTAGGTGTTAGCAACTTAACATATGAATTTGGGTGGATGCATTCTGTCCATTGCAGTGGTTCATCATCTTCAATAATTGCTTTACAGTGCTGTAAAGCTTTAGCTTCTGCTTTATGATTTATTTTTAATAGGAGCCATCATAATGGCTGTGAGTAGTTCTTGCTTTATTTTTTGGCAGTGAAGTGAGTGGCCTTTCCGACAGAAGCATTTATATCTTTCAGGCTCTGCTGGTGCAACGTGGAATGGCTTATCTCTTGAACAGCCTTTCCCAGCTGATAAGAGAGCTATCATTAGCTCACGGCTTAGAAAGGTTAAGAACTTGCCAAGGTCACAGGTGATCTGCAGAGCCAGAAACTGAATCCATGGTCTTATCACCTTTTTATTCCACTCAGCATTGTGCCTGCCTTTCAGCGCAGAGAAGGTCAGCCCCTCACACCAAAGGTCACAGAGCTGATGGTAACAAAGCAAACTCATCAAATGGTCCGCCATCAGGAGGGTGAGCAATGCCATAAGCATTGACTCTGGGGTCCCAGCTCCACGCCCGGAAACCGACATTTCTGCAGGAAACTACTAAGGTGACATCACTTCTATATCTGCAAGCCACTTTATGAGTCAAAGGATGGGGAAGTTCTTTTTTTTTTAATTAATTCATTTGACTGCCCTGGGTCCCAGCATGTGGGATCCAGCTCCCTGACCAGGGATTGAACCTGGGCCCCCTGCATTGGGAGCTCAGAGTCTTAACCATTGGACCACCAGGGAAATCCCAGAACTTTTTGTTCTTGAACTTCCTCTTCTCCATACTCTTCCCCCAGGAGAGCTGACATCTGATAGTGGCTGCATCCTGACAGCCTGAATTTCTATCCACAGCTCAAATGTCTTTGGAGACTTATATAGCCAAGCAACTGCTTTCTTGATAGCTCCACACAGTCATCCTCCAGGCCTTGGGACTTTCCCCAAACTTTTCATTTCATGCACTCCCTCACCTCCAAGTCTGTTCCTCTCCATATTGGTCACAAGTACCACCACCACCTAATAGGTATTTGGGCCAAACACCCAGGAGCTTTCTTTCTCTTCTTCATTCCATACATCCAGGCTTGCTGGCAAGTCCTCTCAATTCCAGAAGATCTATAGCCAATCCCCTGCCTAGCTCTCCCCTATGTAACACCTTCCAATGCTTCCTGGTGTGTCAACATCAGAATAAACACTCGCGAAATCTCTTGCTCACTCCTCTCTGGCCATGACAACCTCCTCACCACTCCTTAAAGAAATTAAATTGCTGGGACTTCCCTGGTGGTCCTGAGGTTAAGACTCCAAGCTTTCAAGGCAGGGGGCCTGGGTCCCATCCCTGGTCAGGGAACTAGATCCCATATGCCACATCTAAGAGTTTGGATGCTTCAACTAAAGATCCTAAGTACCGCAACTAAGACCTGGTGCAGCCAAATAAATAAATATTAAGAAAGAAAGAAATTAAACTCCCACACCTCAGGAGCCTTTGAACTTGTTCTTTCCTCTGCCTTGTGCCTTGTTTCCTTTTCATCACTCAGGTTCCTATTCATATGTCCCCTTCTCAGGGAATCCATCCTTGAGCCCCTAACCTAAAGCCATTTCCGTCCCCTGCTCCAACTCTAGTGATTTTGTCCTATGACCCTGTGTAATTGCCCTTGTGGCAAGTCTTCCTGGCTGACTGAAATGATCTCATTCATTTCTTTGCTTATTGTGAGGTCTTGTCACTAGAGCAGTGCCTTTCAATGATTTTTTAAAAAAAGATTTTTGGCACTCCCTTAAATTTTTAATTCAGTGGTTTGCTTACCTTAAATTTTTTTTTAATATAATTCATATCTTTTTATTTATTCTCTTTTGGCTGTGCTGGGTCTTCAACGCTGTAGACAAGCTTTCTCTCTAGTTGTTGTACACGGGCTTCTCATTGTGATAGCTGCTCTGTTGCAAAGCATGGGCTCTAGGGTGTTCGGGTTTCATTAGTTGCAGAGTGTAGGCTCAGCAGCTAGGGCACATGGGCTTAGTTGCCCAGCAGCATGTGGAATCTTCCTGGACCAGGGATTGAACCTGTGTCCCCAGCACTGTGAGGAAGATTCTTAACCACTGGACCACCAGGGAGAGCCTCATGATTTTTCACATGTCCCACAGCAAGACACAAATTTCACATGTGACCCAGGGATCCAGGTGTTACAGCTACATCACAAATTACCTCCAAATTTACTGGCTTTAAACAACAACATGGATCTTGCTCACAAACCTGCAGTTTGAGCGGGCTTGCTGGGAACATCTCTCTCTGCTCCTCTTGGTGTCAGCTGAGAAGGCTCAAAGGCTGGGGGCTGGAATCATTTCAGTGCTCACTCCCTTACTTGTCTGGTGGTTGATGCTGGTTTTGGCTGGCCCTTATCTGGGAGACTGTTCACGTGGCTTGGGCTTCCTCACAACATGGCAAATGGGCTCAGAGAGCCTACCCTGGAACTGAGAGAGAGGGAGAAAGCAAGCTAGCGCCAGGCAAAAGATGCATCTTAGTTTCTGACCGAGGCTTACAAGTCATACAGAGTCCCTTCTGCCACATTCTGTTAGTTGCACAAAATCCTGCTGAAGTTCAAGAGAAGAATAGAAGTCTGCCTCTTGACAGGGAGTGGCAAAACTGGAACTATTTCTGTGGCTATTTTTGGGGAAATACTACCTGCCACACCCAGTAGACAAATGTTTGGAGTTTCCCCAAAACAATACCTAGCTTTCTGTACACAATGCACTGATTTTTTTCCCCCCATTGTATTTTGTAGAAAATGCTGGTCATGACCTGCTGGATTGATGTTCACCTCATCTGAGGGACACGTCACAAATATGAACAGTTTTTCTTTACTGTAACCCTGCCCAGCATGGTGTTCAGTAAGAGCTGGATACCTCACCCACTAACTTTCTATTTGTTTTACTTAGCACCTACATAGTAATCCCTTTTAGTTCACTCANGTATTGCAGGTGGATTCTTTACCTGCTTAACCATCACGGAAGCCCTGCTAACCCCAAACTCCAGTCCATCTTTTTGGCTTCCTCCTCTCCTTTGGCAACCGCAAGTCCATTTCTGTTTTGTAGATAGGATCATTTACTCTCAAGCCAGCTCTTAAAGTAGACACTGTGATGACCCTCATTCTGCTGAAGAGGAACGTGAAGAGCAGAGGGATGAAGCAATTTGCCTGGGGTAACACAGCTTGTTGTTTAGTGGCTAAGTCCGACTCTTTGCCACTCTTTGGACGGTGGTCCCCTCAGGCTCCTCGGCCCACGGGATTTCCCAAGCAAGAATACTGGAGTGGTTGCCATCTCCTCCTCCACAGGATCTTCCCGACCCAGGGGTGGTACCCGGGTCTCCTGCCTCAGCAGGCGGATTCTTCACCACTGAGTCACCGCGGAAGCCCAGTAAAACAGCCAGGAAGTGGCAAATCTGGGGTTGAAACCCAATCAATCTGGTTGCAGACTCCATTTTGCTCTGCAGCCGCTTATAGACTTTACTTATTTATGTTTATTGTGAGTATCCCATGCACACACCGCAGAACGTCGGTTCCACGTGATGCAGTTATCAGCTTAGTCCCTAGAACCCCAACCTGGAAGCAGCAGGCACTGAATTTGCTAATGCAAGTTTGAAGCTCGTGCTGCCGCTCTCCAGCCTGCACAGGCGCATCAGGCAGGACTGCGGAGGCACGCCCTCCCTGCGCAGACCGGCCTTCGTCAATGACTGACAGACGAGCTGGCGCAGGCGCACTGGTCCGACTCGAAGCAGCCGCCCTCATTCGCTGATGACTGACGTGGGATCAACCCAATGGAAACGGGCCTCTCCGGGAGGGGGGCGGGGCTCAGGGGACAGTTAAATTTGCGCGGGATCGGTTCTAAAGTAGTCATGGCGGCTTTCCGCGACATGGAGGAGGTGAGCCAGGGGCTGCTGAGCCTGCTGGGTGCCAATCGCGCGGAGGCGCAGCAACGGCGGCTGCTGGGGCGCCACGAGCAGATGGTGGAGCGGCTGCTGGAGACGCAAGACGGCGCCGAGAAGTGGCTGCGAGGTGAGGACCTGGGCGGGCGGGGCGAGGGGCAGACGGGGCCGGTGTAACGGGAGCGGTGGCCAAGTCAGTCACGAGCCTCCCTTCTGGGTTGCTCCTTCCCCTAATCCATTTCCCCGTGCAGGTGAGCCTTGTCCCCTCTGAGCCTCTGTTTCCCCACCCATGAAATGGGCTTCAGGATAGCAGCGGGGGGTTGTGTGTTAGTCGCTCAGTAGTGTCCGACTCTTTGCGACCCCCATGGACTGTAACTCGCCAGGCTCCTCTGTCCATGGGGATTCTCCAGGCAAGAATACTGGAGTGGGTTGCCATACCCTCCTCCAGGGGATCTTTCCAATCCAGGGATCGAACCCAGGCCTCGCATTGCAAGCGGATTCTTTACCATCTGAGCCACTCAGGGGGTTTAGTGGTGAATATATGAGTTTGCAGGCCCTGCCGTTCTATGAGCAGGAGTTGAGGTACTCAGGGTTTGAATTGAAACTCAAGTGTCAAAACACCGGGTCTGAATCCCAGCATTCCCACTTCCCAGCTGTGAAATTAGAGGTGACTTACTTAACCTTGCAGTGCCTCTTTTTCCTATAAATTGGTTGTAACAATAAATAATCCACATCTTCCTGTTGAGTTTGTTCAGATGTTTTACTGAGCACCAGCTGTGCCCAGGCATAGTGCCAGCCCTGGGGTAACAGCAGGGAATAGAGCAAACACAATCCCTGGGGTGCGGGGGCTGCTGATACTCTAGCAGGGTGAGGGAGAGGATAAACAAGAAAAATGGATTTGTCAGGAGGTGATGGGCTAAGGATTTCAGCCCTTAACTCATGAGCCCTGTGGTCCCAGTCCAGTGGCTTCCCTTTCAAGCCTCAGTTTCCTCATCTGTGAAATGGGGCTGCTGAAGCACCTCTTTGATGACTCAAAGTGAAAATCACAGAAATCACGCTTGCATAGCACTGTACCCTTGAAAGGGGTGGAGGTGGGGGCTGCCCATGTTGCAGCTTTTCTCAGCATCAGGGTTTTTTTGGTTTTTTAAAGGCTTCAAACTTTTTTTTTTACTGTGGTAAAATTGACGTAATGTAAGGTTTACCATTTTAACTATTTTTAAGTGTCCGGTTCAACGGCATAAGCACTTTCACATTGCTGTGTAACCATCACCACCATCATCTCCAGTATGCCATTGTATGGATACACTATATTTTGTTTATCCATTTATCACTGGACACTTGGGTTGCTCCCACCTCTTGGCTATTGTGAATAATGCTGCTATGAACAGGAGGGTACAAAATAATCTCTCTGAGTCCTTGCTTTCAGTTCTGTTTTTGTATCTTCCCAGAAGTGGAAATGCTGGGTCAGATGATAATTTGATATTTAACTTTTTTTGAGGAAATGCCATCTAGTTTTCCACTGTGCTTTCAGTGCCAGGGATTTGTAATGCCTTTTGACAATCACACTTTATGAGGGAGTGCCGTTTGGGTTGAGACTTGAATGAGCTGGGAGCTAACCATAGGATGCCTGGGGGAAGGAGTGATCCTGGCAGAGGGGACTCTCGGGGACAAGGTCATGAGGTGAGAATGAGCCTGGAGACCCAGGAGAAAGAGGTGGATGAGTTCAGCAGTAGCCAGAGCCTGCTAGCCCCCAGGAGGAGTTTGGATGTTGGTTCTAAGCATGTTGGAATTTGCCCTCCAATGCAGGAGACTGGGGTTCAATCCTTGGGTCGAGAAGATCCCCTGAAGAAGGAAATGGCAACCCGCTCCAGTATTCTTGCCTGGGAAATCCCTTGGACAGAGGAGCCTAGTGAGCTACAGTCCATGGGGTCGTATAAGAGTCAGACATGACTTAGCAATTAAAACAACTACTAAGCATGATGGATGTCTGGGCCAGGTCTTCTGCTCTTTCCTCCTCCTCCTCCTTCCTTTTCTCCTCTCCCATTCCATTAACTCTACTTCCACGGGTGGTTGGGGAGAAGATCAACATAACCTGCCTGGGTTTCAGCAGAATGGATGGATTTGGGGCAAGGAGAGAAGAGTCAGCATTCTAGGGTGCTGGGGTTTGATCAAAGAATCCAGTTCAGGGACTTCCTTGGTGGCAGTCGAGTGGTTAAGACCCATGCTTCCCCTGCAGGGGCTCGGGTTCAATTCCTGGTCGGGGAACTGAGATCCCGCAGGCTGCCCAGCATGGCCAGAAAAAAGGATCCAGTTCAGATCCCGGCTTTGGAGCTAAGTTTGTAGACAAGTCACTTTGAGCTTCTGTTCATAGCCTCTCGAATGCAAGGAGGGCTAAGCTGCCCTCAGAGGGTTATGAGAGTACATAGTGAGTTAGGGCTCTGTGGTTACCCATGGCACAGCACACATGTAGGCAGTGACGGCTTAGACTGAACATCCAGGAGACTTGGCTGTGGTTCGGACGGTGCCTGGAGAAGGGGCGGGAAGGCTGTGTAAGAGAGCCAGACCCCCAGCTCTCCGACAGGAAGTCAGCAGGCACCGTCTAACACAGGTCAAGAAATAGCAGCATAAGCAAATTATTTAGAAATATGAAGGCCAATGCCAGAGAAAACAGTGAGGAGTTTAAGTGGCTGCTTCAGAGGGTGGAGAGGCTTAGAGAGGAGTGTGTGTGTGTGTGTGTGTGTGTGTGTGTGTGTGTGTGTGTGCGCGCACGCACACGCCCAAGTGTGTGTTTAAATTTTCACAACCATAGACATGTAGCACTTTGATTAAAAATTAACTTGATCTAAGTTTGTAAACAAACACCGGCCCTCTGAGAAGCATTGTCATCTGTGTCTTCTCTGGGTTGGCCGGTTTCTCTGACTCAATGAGAAGGAACACAGTAACCTTCTTAGGGTGTTTTTGATCTTTTCAGATGTTCCGTTCCAAATATGTTTATTCTGAGTAGGTGTTGGCTGATATCTAGCGACTGTAAGACACAATTTGTGCCTTGAAGAAGAGAGACAAGAAATAAATAGGCCAGGGTGATGGGGCTGTCCTAGGAGCATAGCCATGCCCCAGGAAGGAAAGGACAATGTCCATTCCGCCTGAGTCGGGCATTATCCACGAGGTCCTCAGGCTGGGAATGGGTGTGCCCGATGGGAGCATCCCTGGAAGACAGGCAGGCGGGGGCCCAGGAAAGCACATGAGGAAACATGGCATGTCTGCACGTATTAATGAAGCATCTTTGCAAGCCAGAACAGAGGGAAAACACGTGATTGGGAGAAAAGCAAGGAGAAAGGAGGTTGGCAAGGAGGGCGTAGGTGCCCCTGGACCTTATCCTGGAGACACTGGAGGGGGCCCTGGGAGGTCTTTGAGCAGAGGAGTGCCTTAGCATTCGGCCTCTGACGCAGCCACTCTGAAGGCAGAGAGCAGTACAGACTGGCAACAGGAGCAACCACAGCAAAGCAAGGGGCTGACAGGGTGGTCCTGGGGGGACGAGGGACCCGCACGAGGAAGGAGGGGCCCTGCCAGGGTGGATGGCCAACTGCATCCAGAGAGTGAGTCCTGGGCGTGCTGTCTGGGCAACGGGGTGGAGAGTGATGTCATACATTAAGACTCAGTAGACAAGGAGGGACTGAAGTTTCTTCGCCTGATGGATTCAGGTGTGACTCGGTGAAATGGATACATTGAGTCAGATTCCAGGTGGGACTCTGGTGGGTATTTGCAAATAGGATGATGGGTCTGGGAGCCACAAATGGAAGTGGGCGTAGATGGGGGCATTGAGGCCGCCCTCTACTCCGGGGCTTTCCTGGGGAGCTCGAGTTGAGGGCCCAGACTTCACCCCACCCTGCAGAGATCCTCACTGCAGAGAAGGAGGTGGCCCAGAGCCTCCTGGATGCGAAGGAGCAGGCACACCAGGGTGGTGTCGAGCTGCAGCAGCTTGAAGCTGAGCTTCAGAGGGCCAGCGAGGAGGATGCCCGTCTGAAGGCCAACCTCCTATATCCTTTCCTGTGTGTGCAGAATGGTTGGACCCCAGCCCCGCCTGGAGGCACCTGTTCAAGCCAGAAAACACATCTAGAGCCAGTGGCTCGGGGCTGACAGGGTTGGTGTGAGGTGTGAGCATGTGGGCAGCCCTGCCTCCAAAACCAAGGGTCCTTAACTACCTGCTTTACTCAGCTCACAAGAGAACTGGAGGAGCTCAAGGAGATTGAGGCGGATCTTGAAAGACAAGAGAAGGAAGTCGACGAGGACACAACAGTCACCATCCCTTCAGCTGTGTAGGTCCATAGATGTGATGTGAGTGTGTATCCCTGTGAGTGTGTATGTGCGTCTGTAGCCCATGGATCTTTACGAGAGTTGACACTGGAATGACTTCTTTTCTCTGTTTGTTATTTTTTTTTGTCTTCTCGCACAGGTATGTGGCTCAACTCTATCGCCGAATTAGTAAAATCGAGTGGGATTATGAGTGTGAGCCTGGGATGATCAAAGGCAGTATCCTTTGTGGGGAATGTGAAACCCTGGGCACTGCTGGGGAGAATTAGATGGTGCAGACACTATGGCAGGTCCCACACATTGAACAGCATGATCACATGACCCAGTTCCACTTCTGGGAATTGGGATATGACCCAATTTCGCTTTGGGTATACCCACAAAGGAATGAAAGCAGAGACCTGAACAGGATTCACAGCAGCACTGTTCACAAGAGCCCAAAGGTGGAAGCAACCCAAACATCTATCAGCAGATGACCAGATAAACAAAATGTGGTCCATCTACACGGTAGAATATCATTCATCCTTAAAAAGGGAAGACATCCTGACACATTTTACACCATGGATGAACCTGGGATATAATATGCTGAGTGAAATAAATCAGACACAAAAAGTCAATTCTGTATAGTTCCACCTACCTGAGATCTCTAGAGGAGTCAGTTTCATGAGGACGGAAAGTAAGATGAGGACTATCAGGGTTGGGTAGGGGGAGTCTGTTTAATGGAGACAGAGTTTCAGTTTTACAGGGCCCTTCCCTGGTAGCTCAACTGGTAAAGAATCCACCTGCAATGCAGGAGACCCTGGTTCAATTCCTAGGTCGGGAAGATCCCCTGGAGGAGGGAATGACTACCTACTCCAATATTCTGGCCCGGAGAACTCCATGGACAGAGGAGCCTGGCAGGCTACAGTCCATGGGGTCGCAAAGAGTCGGACACGACTGAGTGATTTTCACTTTGACTTTTCAATTTTACAAGATGAAGAGTTCTGACGGAGAACTCCATGGACAGAGGGGCCTGGCAGGCTACAGTCCATGGGGTCGCAAAGAGTCGGACACGACTGAGTGATTTTCACTTTGACTTTTCAATTTTACAAGATGAAGAGTTCTGGAGATGAATGATGATGGTTGCACAACAGCGTGAATATACTGAATGCCACTCAACAGGCTTAGTTGTTGCGCAGCATGTGGGATCTTCCCGGACCAGGGATCAAACCTGTACCTCCTGCATTGGCAGGCAGATTCTTTACCACTGAGCCGCTAGGGAAGCCCCTCTAAGTATCTTAATAATGACAACTGAAAGGCAGTATCCTTTTGTCACGGGGTTGAAGGGGAGGGCAGTGCATGCTGGCTTTGCTTACATCCGTGCTCTCAGTCCACCACGGCCCCAGCGTTGCCCAGCCCATCCACCTGGACAGCACCCAGCTCTCTAAGAAGTTCATCAGCGACTATCTCTGGAATCTGGTGGACACGGAGTGGTAGCCCGGAGCCTCTGGGACTGCATCACACAGCCCCACACAGTGGGAATCAGCCATGGTGGGTGGTCAGCGCCTCAGGGGTGAGATCAGCTTAAAATTAAATGTTGACACATAAATGAGTTTTTGTTTCTTACTGATTTTCTCCCCCCCCACCCCCATTCCACCCTCCCGACTTTGGCCTCGGATGCTGGACTAGGTAATCAAAGAGAACCAACTTAACCTTGCCAGGGCTGCAACTTCACATCTATAACAGCGCATGCCAATGACACCGTGGTAGCCAATGACAGATTCCGCGTCTTCATCTGTGATTCAAGTGTGGCCCCTTTTTTATCCGTTCAGTCTCTGAGTGCTGCTGTGTGCCCAAGGTGAAGACACAAGGTGAAGGTGACAAGGATCTCTGCAGCCGACGGAGGAGTCAGAAGTGATCAGATGCCACCCTCAGGCTAGAGAGTATCCAGAGTGCTGTGGGGCCTCGGCCAGGAAGGGAACCTGCCCCAGAGGATGGGGGTGGTGTTCATGCTGGGACTAGAAAGGAAGAGCCAGTCACAAAGAGGTTACATAGGGGCCCATCCCTGGCTCCAGGGTGGACGGGTGAACTGTGTATTGGAGACCACTGGTTGCCTCCCTAATATTCATTCACCACTTGGTAAGAAACTCCTTTTTACTGCCCAAGTCAAAACACAACTTTCCCTAGTCTCCTTTGCAGTTAAATTCAGGACAATGAAATGTAAAAAGAAGTGTTGTATGTGACTTCTCCTTAAAAGGCAAGGGAGTATCCCCTTTCCCTTCCCCTCTATTTTCTGGAATTTGGGTGTGATGGCTGGAGCCCTGGCAGCTCTATTGCCACATGAGGAGGGTTGAAATTCTCTAGAGATGAGAAGAGCCTGGTTCTCTGATGATGGTGGAGCTGGATATCAATACTAAACTTCTTGGGTGCAGGGGCTAACCTGCTGTGTGTGTCTTTCTTAGTTTTTCTATCACAGATGCCCATAATAAACCCTCACTGATTCAGCATGCAGCCTAAGCCTGGGCCAGCCAATCAGTGCATTCACCTAACCCCCATCCTCAGTGACTGAGCTACTACTACAAGTAGGAAGTTTATGGCCAGCCTGCCTGCCTGTCTGAGGGCAGCGAGTGAGAAGTACGGTCCCTTTGCCATCAAGTGCCTCCTGGATACAGCTCTGCCTGAAGCCAATAGATTCGGCAGTTACATGAACCTCTGGGTGTTGGGTTTTGTGCACCTCTGTACAACTTACAGTAAGTACAATTTGTATTTCTTGATCAGAGATTTTCTAGGCAGAAGGAACAGTAAGTTCTAGCAGCACCCGAGTACATCAAATGGGCATCAAAATAGTCCATTCCCATACCCCTTGGAGGTCCTAGGGCAAGTAATCCTGCCTGTTGGGGTCCAGGAGATAGACCCCAAAAAGGGGTTATTAGTGTCACTGAAATGCAAGCATCCCCAGGCCATATGGCTCACAAGATTCCCAGAACTTCAGAGGCCCTGCTTTTATGCCGAGAGCTTGGCTTTACATATTCAAGGATATGTTCCCATAAGCCCTTCTGGGCTGTTTTCATTTTCAAGGTTGGCAGAATTTTTTTATGATGTGAAAAAGAAGCAGAGTCCTGCACTGGTACCCTTGGCCACCAAAGGGCAAAAGACTTTACCTAGACCAGGGTTTTCCTGCCTCAGCCTTCGCAGTGCTGGGGTCAGGTCACTCTGCTGGGGGCTGCCCTGGACATCATAGTATAATCTGGCAGTAACCCTGGCCTCTACCCTCTAGATACCGGGAGCCAACCCCTGTCCTGAAAACCCTGGGGGTGACGGGGCGGGGGGGTGGACACACTCAGGGCTGCCACCCCCACCTCCACCCCCCTGCCTTGTAGCCTGAGCCGGGAACCCATGAGTCTTCTGCCAGGGTCAGTTGAGAAGCTGCTTCACTGTGATGGCCGTTCCTGCTGACACAGCCAGCCTCCACCTGCTCCCCTGCAGGAGTGAAGGTGCCAGGAGGGCTCCATGCCCTGAGAGGACTGGGGCGCAGCCGAGGGTCCCAGGGCTGGCAGAGAAGTGTATTTCCCTCTAGTTCAAATTAATGGGCACAGAGTTCCTGGGAGAGAAAGCTGGTGATGGGAGGTGGGTACAGTTAGAGGCAAAGTTCTCTCTGTGCCCCAGCTCAGAGCCTGAGCCCCTTCCGAAGGGATCTGCTCCCCTGCCATAATCACACCCCGCTCCAAGCAGTGGCTTTGTTCGGGGAGGGGCCTAGGAGGCATTGCCTGCCTGCCTAGAGCTCAGTGACCAAGAAGGACATCTGACATTTGAGGGAGGCTGTATGGACACAAGATTCAAAGGGGCCATGTCCAATTTCCCCAGGCAGCCCCCCGAGACCAACTCAAGGAGTGAGCAAGGGGGTGAGGCATGCAGCCCAGTGGGGCCCGACGGGTGGGTTTGGGGAAGTGCCTGAGCTCACAGGGGCCAGGGGAGGCCCTGGCCCTCTGCATGCCTGGGCCCTGACTCACTGCCCAGCGCTGGCCAGACGCCCGGATGGCCTTGGCCCACGGCCTCCAGCCTGCACCCCCACCCCCGCCCCGCCTGCTCTCCCTCTGAGAGCCAGCCCATCAGCAGCCACCAGCCTTTTCCCAGATTATGGAGGCCAGCCAGGGGCACGTTGAATGCTAGGCCAGCCCTGGTGGGGGTGCAGGATCAGTTTCCCCCCTACCACCAGGAAGGGAGCATGGAACCCAAACCTTGGTGCCTGCAGAACTGAGACTTGACCCCACACACCCACCCCGTTCCTCTTCTGCCATCCCCTCAGGCCAGCACCACCCCAAGCTGGTGAGGGGGATCCAATTTACAGGTAGGAAAACCGAGGCACAGCTTGGTCCAGTCAGTTGCCCAAAGTCACAGTGACACCCCTCCCCGGGAGGCTGAACCCAGCAGGGGGGCCCCAGGGTCCATGGAGGAGCCTCTTGGCTCTTCAGATGAGAAACGACTCCGAGGCACCTGCCTCTTGTCCAAGGTAACCCAGGTGGAAAGAGACCAAGAACTGGAACCCAGGCCTGTACTTGGTAGAGCCCTGCCAGGCAACAGAGCACTTAAAAGTCCTTAGTGGTTGCTGGTCAAATATCCACACACCTGCCCAACCTGGCTTTTTTTTTTTCTTTTTGCCTAGAGACAACACAGCTAACATTTCAATGATTTTCTTTCAATCCATTTTCTAGGATTTCTATGCTTTCATAAAATTTCATATAACTGACATCTTAGAAAGTAATGTTTGAAAACTGCTTTAAAACACCTAAGTTACATTGCTAAGCGCTAAGTCACTTCAGTCATGTCTGACTCTTTGCGACCCCATGGAGCCCACTGAGCTCCTCCGTCCATGGAATTCTCCAGGTAAGAATTCTAGAGTGGGTTGCCATTTCCTACTCTGGGGGATCTTCCTGACCCAGAGACTGAACCCATATCTCTTATGCAACCTGGTTTTTAATTGGTGTTTCTGGAGAAAATAGGCAAGGGTATATGGAATCCAGAGGCTGAACCTCTCACCTGGATCTCTGGCAAGCTTGGTGGGCTGAGGCTGGGGAGAGGCTGGGAAGACCGACCACAAGGGACCAATACAGACACGGCAGTGCCTGGACCACCCCCAGGAAGGCCCCAGAACCTCCTGGCCTCCCCACCTGACTCAGCAGTGTGTACTGGACATCTGTGACCTGCCAGGCGCCCCATCCAGGGAGCCACACTACTGTGGAGGCCATGAGCAGGTGCTGGGTGCTGGCTCCCAGTGTCCTTCAGTGATGGAACCAAGGCACCATGAAGGCAAGCTGTTCACGAACGGTGTCACAGCTGGTGAAGGCAGAGCCTATTGGAGGCCCCAGGAAGGAGGAGTAATTTGAGCCCAGACAGACCTGAGCCCCCAGGGGACAAAAGTATGGAGACAGTGACCCAGGCAGAGAGAACAAGTACAAAGGATCAGAGACAGCAAAGAGGCCAGCAAGGAGAGAATGAGAGGCCATGGGGCTGGATCAAGCCAGGCCTGCAGTCCACAGTGAGACATGAGGATTTTCAGATTCCAGGGGTGGGGTGGGGGAGCTCAGAGTTGGGGCTTGGGAAAGGAGAGTCTGACACTGCCCTCTTGACACAGGTCGTGGCGCAGAGGCTCAGCTGACTGGGGGGTGGTTTTGCTTTGAACCCCCAAGCTCCCGGCCTTCCATCCAATCACAGGCACAGCTTGGGAGAGGAGGCCATGGTGTAAGCAGAGCAGCTGTGCCGGGGAGGGTGGAGCCCCTTCGGAGGGCAGGAGTCAGAGCTGAAACCTGAGCTGCCTGGAGGGGAGGCTGGACCGGACCCAGGAGTCCTGGGGGCTGTTCCCCGCCTCTCAATTCCACTCCACTCTGTGGGGTGGGTGATGTGACCAGTATTTGCTCAAATTCCAACTCTCAGGAGCTCTCATCTCATCACTGAGGGAATTCACTGCCTAGAGGAGAGGGGCGCTGCCCCCCACCATGGGGGAGGGGCCGGCATGCGGACAGCTCTCTCCGCTCCCCGCCTCCCCCTCTTTCCTCCCACGGACCTGGGCTCAGCCCCGAAGGCTCCAGCCTGACTCACCACAGGCAGCTGTGGTTTCAGATGCCTGTGGGGGCTGGGGGTGGGGGTGAAGGCAGCATAAGATGTCAATTGGGGTGTCAGGCTTGGGGGAGCAACTCCCTCCCACTACCCCACTGGTGTTGGCCCGGGGCTGTTGAGCCTCTTGGAGAGGCAGGAGTTCACAGTCACCTGCCCACACCCTGTCCTCAGGGACAGCAGCTCCCAAGCTCCAGTCTGCTCCCCACCCCTTGGGGGAGCCCACAGACCAACTCCAAGCAGCCGGCCAGCTGCCCCTCATCTTACCTGGGTGACAACCAGACCCTTCCCCAGGGAAGCCCCTGTGAGCCCAGAGAGGTTCACCACCATGGCCTTGCCTTTTAGGCTGCCGCTACTGAAGGACAAAAAGGCAGGGCATCCTGGTCTCGCCAGGAGCTTGGGACCCAAGCCCAGGGACGCCAGCCTCCCCTTTCCCATCTGTAACATGGACTCTCGGCCTGGCTCCTCCTTGGGCGGCAACAGAGAGGCTGCAGCCAGTTAATCCCCAAGAAGGGTCCGCTCTTATTTTTCCTGACACTCTAATCCTGTGTGTCTGTGCACACTCACTGGCACGCTGGAGGCGCCTGAGGAAGGATTTCAGTTACTACTCCCTCCGTTAACAGAAAACTGCCCAGGTCAGGCATCAGAAACTTCCATCACCTCCAGTCTCTCCCTCTGCCCGGGGACCCCCCCCTCCCCCCGCCCCGCCCCAGGTCCTGACCACCTTCCCCTCTCAGCGCTCTCGGCCACTGCCCAGCCCCTCCCGCGCGCGCCCGGACTGTTCAGGCTCATTTGTCCGGTTTGCCACGCGGCTGAGCATGGAGTCAGTCAATCAACCAATTATCGAGCGCCCGCCTGCAAGCCCCGAACGCTTCCTGTGCGGTCCGCTCAGCTCTTGCCCCCAGAGGCATTTTGGAACCTTCCCAAGACAAAAGGTGGAAGGAAGGAAGGAAGTGCCACCCTGTGGACACAGAAAAGATCGCAGTACCGGCGGCTCCCGGCCCTTAGCTCAGCCACCTCTACACCCGTCACCCGCGGAGCCCGCGAGGCCGGGATTAGCATCGCCCCGTTTGCAGGTGGGGAAACGGAGGCTCGGATGGGTCCAAACTCACCCAACTCAAGCCAGTCTGCACACTTTCCCACCCACTGCCTCCACACTCCAGGTCCTCTGCCCTTGGGCAGGGTCCTGCAGGGAACCCCGTTTCCCACGTCCAACAGAGTTCAGCACAAAGGGGCGCTGGCGGGAGGCGGGGCCTGGAGGAGGGGAGAGGCTAGAATCTCCTCTCTGTCTGCCACGGACGGCTCTTCTCCCAGCTACCAAAATTCCTGGACTCCAGTAATGCCACCCCTTCTGCTGTAATTTCTGGATGCCTCATTGTCCCCGCATTTGTTGTTTTTTTGGTTTTTTTTTGCCCGTGCTGTGCGGCACGCAGGATCTTAGTTCCCCGACCAGGGACTCAACTGTACCTCGTGTAGTGAAAGCTCTGAGTTCCTAACCACTGGACCCCCAAGGGAAGTCCCATTTGGCCGAGCTGAAGCTTTAGTTGAGGCATGTGGAATCTAGTTCCCTGACCAGGCATGGTACCCAGGTTCCCTGTGCTGGGAGCATGGGGTCTTAGCCGCTGGAGCACCAAGGCAGCCCTGAAGTTTACCTTCTTAACCAGATTTAGGTGTGCAGTTCAGTGGCATTCAGCACATTCACTTTGTTGTGCAACCTTGCTAACCATCTAGCTCTTTCCTCCTGCAAAACTGAAAGCCTGTACCCATTAAACACCAACTCCCCCCCTCCTCCCCCAACCCCAGGCACCCACTTTCTGTCCAACTTTCTGTTTCTAGGAATTTGACTGCACTGGGGATTTCAAGGACAGCAAGGAGATCAAACCAGTCAATCCTAAAGCAAATCAACCCTGAGTATTTATTGGAAGAACTGTTGCTTGAAGCTGAAGCTCCAGTCTCGATGCTAAGAGCTGACTCATTGGAAAAGACCCTGATACTGGGAAAGATTGAGGGCAAGAGGAGACGGAGGCAGGCAAGGAAGAATGAGATGATTGGATGGCATCACTGATTGAATGGACATGAGTTTGAGCAAACTCTGGGAGGCAGTGAAGGACAAAGAGGCCTGGCGTGCTGCAGTCCATGGGGTTGCAGAGTCAGACATGACTGAGCGACTGAACAAGGGACTTCATGTAAGTGGAGTTATACAGTAGTTATCTTTTTGGATCTGGCCAATTTCCTTTAGACAATGTCTTGGAGATTCATCCATTTAGAGCATGTTTCAGAACTTTCTTCCTTTTTCAGGCTGGATAATATTCCACTGCGTATATATACATTTTATTTATGCATTCACCTACAGATGGACACTTGCGTTTATTCCACTTTCCGGCTCTTGTGAATAATACTATGAACACAAGTGTGCAAATATCCAAGTCCCTGATTTCAATTCTTCTGTGTGTATATACACAGAAGTGGACTTGCTGGATCACATGATGGTTTTATTTATTTCTTAAAATTTTGGCTGTACCTGGTCTTAGTTGCGGCATGAAGGATCTTTAGTCGAGGTGTGTGGGATCTTAGTTCCCTGATCAGGGATCGAACTGCATCACCTACCTTGAAACCACAGAATCTTAACCACTGGACCATCAGGGAAGTCTTGTGGTTTTTTGTATTCCCTGATCAGGGATCGAACTGCATCTCCTACCTTGAAACCACAGAATCTTAACCACTGGACCATCAGGGAAGTCTTGTGGTTTTTTGTTTTTAATTACAGCCATACAAATGGCATGTAGGTGGCATCTCATTATGGTTTGTCCCATTTAGTCTTTTATGCTTAGTTCCTTGTATTTTTTTCCCTATCCAATGACCTGCTGTATTCTTGTTTCCCACTTGAAAGGCCAGGACTTTCTGTGGCTTGAGTGCCATGCCCTAAGATAGGGGTCTGAAATGCCCTTGAGGTCAGACTCAGGTAAAGCTGGGATGCACAAGAGAATAAGACTGAGAAGAGTGCAGTCCATGTACCCCGATGTCTGTGGCTCTGGGCAAATGTTATCACAATGAAGCCAGATTTGTGATGTGAAACCTCTCAATTTATTTCTATCTTGGCAATGAATTTAATAGAATTAAATTCAGGAAAAAAGTTTTGTTTTTTTTTTTAAAAAAGAAGAAGGAGGAGGAGGAATAGTTAGAGAGTTTGGAATGGACACGCACACACTGCTATATTTAAGACAAATAACCAACAAGGACCTACCATATAGCTCAGGGAACTCTGTTCAATGTTATGTGACAGCCTGGATGGGAGGGGAGTTTGGGGGAGAATGGATACATATATGTGTATACCTGAGTCCCTTTGCTTTCCACCTGAAACTGTCACAACATTGTTAATCATACTCCCATATACTCCCATATAAAATGTAAAAGTGAAAGTGTTAGTCGCTCAGTTGTGTCCAACTCTTTGTGACCCCATGGACTGTAGCCCTTCTGGCTCCTGTCCATGGAATTCTCCAGGCAAGCGCACTAGAGTGGGCAGCCATTCCCTTCTCCAAGGGATCTTCCTGACCCAGCGATAGAACCTGCACTGGAGACAGATTCTTAAAATAAAAAGTTTAAAATAAATTAAGGAGAATCCCTCCCTGACACCTCCCCCCACCCCATATAAAAGAGCCTCTTGCCAGTCAGTTCTGTCTCATTATCTTTTTAAATATTGTTCTAGAATAATCTTTTAAAATAATTTTTTGTATCTGTTTCCTCTTCTAAAATGTCATCTCCTTGAGGGCATAGATTCTTCCTGCAGTGTCCCATACTCCTTGAACATGACCTGGCACACAACGGGTGCCCAGTGTTTGTTGAATGAGTGAATAAGCAGGAAATTTAGTAAAACTTCAGTTCAGCACCTGCACAACTGCTCCCCAGCTGAGCACAATATCCCCTCAGAGGCTGCAGCCTGTGTTGACACTGTAGGAAAATGTTCCCTTTCCAGATCCTTCTCCCGGGGCGGTGGGGGCGGGGAGGAGTCTTGTCCATCAGCAGATGGCGGGAGCCAGAGAAAGGCAGAAGAAAGCACTTCTGGTTTAGTCAAATACTTTATTTAAGAAATGTAATCGATCACAGTAAGGCATTCAGGCTATAAAAACATTCTATACAGTGGTTTAAAAAGCGACACCCATCCTCAAAAAGCAACCCATATATACAACACAGAACCTGATTCTCTTGAAGAGGGCTGCGCACAGCACGCTCGAATAAGCTTTGTACAGAAAGACAAGGCATCTTTGCAGCAACCAGGACTTGCAAAAATAAATAGATCTTTCTTTTATATATACACGTAAGTGAGAAATGTTTCAACAAATATACAAAGTGCAAACATAACAAAAAGCCCCCACTGTCTGCTCGGCGGTGGTGGGGGTGTTATTTACATGCTTCAGAAAGAGAAAAGGTGTTCACAGTCTCTGGCAGGGGTGCCGTGTTCTGTGGTTGTACAGATGTTTCCACGGGAGGTTGCCCCCATCCGACCCCCACCCCCCAGTGGTCATAAATATCATATGTGTGGCAATTTCAGAAAGCATCCTTATTTAATGAATTCCATGAAATTCCCAAGCCCAGAGCACATCTTACAGGGCAGACCTGCCATGCATGTTTCAGACAGACACCGGCCAACCATGACCAGCTTGTAGGGGATATGAATGGCTCAGCGGCCTCTGCCTAGAAGTGGAAACAGTAGGCAGATTGTCTAGTCGTAATCTTGGCTTTGAAGTCATGATCGAACCACCACACACACGTCTCCCTACATGCTAGAAGAGGGGCCGGGTCTGGGAGAAGGGCCGGGTCAGTACCAATCATCAACCCGGACTCTGCAGCCAGAAGGGAACCAGAATGGAAAGTAGTGCAAAATAATAATAGAACATCGACTTTACACAGTGTACGACCCTGAACTGAAAAAGTGCAAGGGGTAGGGCTGGGGTCCAGACACCCACTCCCGGACAGAGGGATACAGTTAGAGGTGAGAGCTGCTCATCTTCACGCATAAAGGGGGTCTCAGGCACTTAATACACGTATGTTAAGGGCGACTGGTGGCTCACATTTGTTTTTTCTGGGGATGATCGGGGTTTTGGTGAATGAATAGGGTTCAGTGGGTGCCACTCCTGGAAAGTTGGACCCAGGGTCCCCTCCTGGCTTAAGTGGAGGACAAACCCGGCTTGGAAAACCCTAGTTTGATCCTGACCAGGGGGTGGCAGACCAACTCTGGCCATCCCGCAGGCTCGCCTGGCAGAGGTAAACACGTTCAGTCCTGAGTGTGGGGCCTGGGCTAGAGGGTGGATGGCGGCAGCAGCCACCTGGGACCCTGTGGGTAGCACCTGCTCTCGTGCGTTCAAAGCCACTAGCTTTCCGGCTCCATGTCCCTACGTCATTCCCTCCGGGGAGGAGCGTGTCTAGAAGGAGAGCAGCTCAGAGATTCCCGGAGAGGACAGATCCCCCAGGTAGTCTGTCTTTCTCCTTCACGTGTAAAGAAAGGAAGAAAAAAAAGCAACCCGACTGCCTCCTGTGGGCGCCGTCTGAAGCCTGTTCTGCCTCTCAGAAAAATAAATATATAAAACAAAGCTGTGGCAGATAGGCAAACGGCGCCTGGGCTGCAGTCACCAGCAGTGCTTTGGGTGCGGAGGTCTCAGGGAGGGTTGGGGGCAGGTCAAGGGTCGGGGGAGAAAGTGTTCTTCCTGCCTTTGAGTGACTGGCGGCGGGTTCCGGGGAGGGACAGGACTCGAGGCAGCAGCTTATGCCACGTCATCCTCCAGGCTGACCATCTGTCTCTGTCAACAAAACAGTAAACGCCGGAAACGATCAGTCCAACATCCAGTAAACATGGCCACAAGCCACCCACGCCTGACTCTCCTGGTCCCCCAGGCCACCCCCCTCATCTACCGCTGGGCCCGCGCAAAGGCCTCCACCCTCCTCTCGGGGCTCTGCAACTTGGCCCAGGCCTGTTCCTCACACAACCACCAGGGGCGCCCGTGAGCACCTGAGTCTGATCAGGCGGCTCCGTGGCGCCCATCTCACGCCCAGCAACGGTGCTCCCACAGGCCCACAGCCTCCTGCTCCATCTGCCCCTTCCCCTCTCACTCTCCGCCCCTCAAACACACAGGCGGGGTTCGGCCATAGGGCCTTTGCACAGGTGGTGCCTGCTGCATTCCGTACACTCCCTACTCAAGAAAGCCTTCCGGGCCACCTTATCCGACGTCGCCTCCCCTCCCTCCCAGACGCCCCACAAAAAAACTCAGGCCCCCTTCCGGCTTTCACCCTTGGACCTATGTTCCCTTGGCTTACCCTCTGGCCCTGCCGCCCCCCTCCTCCCCATCCCATGCCCCCCACTCTCTGAGATCGTCCGCTCTCGAGGAGGGCCTGGCCTTTAGGAGGCATGAGGAACACTCAGACACTCGGCTGCCGGCAAGGTCCCCAGCGGGGAGGCTCACCGAGGGGTAGGTGTAGCCGTCCTGGCTGCGGCAGATGTGGACCTCGTCCTCCGTGGTCTTCTGGTACACAGGGTTGTCAAAGTTGATGCTGTTGATGCTCTTGAGCCGCCAGTTCTTCCAGAGGAGGAAGGTCCCGAAGGCCAGGAGGATGAGCAGTGCTGCGGGGAGAGGGGAGGGGTGCTGCCTTCAGACGCCAGGCCTTTCACGGGGAAATGTTTTTGTTCCCAATTTATTATTTGTATTTTTCCAGTTTTCCTAATATTTGGGACTTGTCTGGTGGTCCAGCAGTTAAGACCCACTGCAGGGGAAGTGGGTTCCAACCCTAGTAGGGGAACTAAGATCTTCCCAAATGCCCCGAAAAACATTANAAAAAAAAAAAAAAAACTTGCCCACTGTAAAAAAAAAAAAAAATCCATCAGTGAGTATAACAAATCTCTAGCTTGAAGACCACTGTGACTGCCTCACACCCCCCAAATACCCAACAATTGTTGGGTATATAGTAGGCTCACATTATGAAGCACTGGGTCAGGGGCTGCCTGTCTCTTGAGACCAAAGATTCAAGACACATTCCCAGTGGCCGGGGAGGTCACTGGTGGAATTTTTCAACCTGCTTCTACATTTGATGACAAGAAGGCTGTTGTCAATTTTTCCACGTTTCTTGTGTATTAGTCACACATCAGTTACTTTGTTTTCACAAATGGGCTTGTTCTCAACATTTGGGGCCACCGTGGCACACCCTGCTTCTGCGTGAATGCGGATAATGAGGGATCCCTCTTTGCATCATTGATAGTGGGTCTTGGGGTGCCGTTTCCTGTCCCCTCCCTGCCTCCTCTCCTGGGATCCAAGCAACAGCCAGGGGCTCACACCGCCTAGGTTTGTAAAAGATCCTGGCTGGTGCCCAGAGAGCGGGAAGATGCCAGGTGGGCATTACCCTGAGGCAGCCTCACCCTGAGGTGAGGGCCTCCCCAGGCAAGTGTATCAACCCACAGCCGAACAACTGGTGGGACTTAGATCTCTGGTCTCTGTGAAGGGACACCTTGAAAGGATTTTTTTTTCAAAAAGGGAAAGTCGGTATGATGCAAACCAAGCCATGATTGACAGGTGAGGGCAGGAAAGTAGAAATCTCCAAACTGCTCCCTGAAACAGAACAACTCATCAGGAGGTACCCCTGCTGGTGCCTTCTCATGCTTTGGGTGTTGGTGAAAGTGCCCGTCAATCATACCGGGAACCCTGGCCCAGTCCCCCTTCCCCCATGTGACATCTCAGATGTCCCACTCTGCTGTCAGCTCCAAGGGGGCGAACGTTTGTTTCTCTCTGGGCTCTGTCCCCAGTGCTCAGAAGTGGCCTTGGTATACAGTAGTTGCTCAACTATATTTGTTTAGCGAATGAAGCTAGGAAGGGGGTTGCTCAGTGATAAACAGGACAGACACAAAATGGGCCACCCCAATACTGGGGGAAAGGTGGGCCAGAACAGCTTGCCGGGAACAGAAGTCATTTTGCAGGAAGCAAAAAACCAGGGGAGGACTGGCCACAGGCTTACCGATGGGGAGGACGATGTATAGGGCACCCACGCTCCCGGGCTTCTCTGTGTCCGCTCGGTTGGCAACGTCACCCAGGGCTGTGGGAGAGAAGGGAGAAAGTGAGGCCCATATCCAGCGTGACAGGGTGGGAAAACACAGCAGGTGTATGATGTCAATATGCAGAGGAAAACACCTGACAATTCTCAGTGTCTTCAAATGTCCAAAGGAACTTGGAGTATCTCCCAGGCTTGAGAGGTGCCAGGCTGGCTTTTGTCCAGGCCTCGCTTGTGGGCAATTGGGATTATGGCCTGAATTTAAGAGAGTCCTTTAGGCTCGCATTATGAGGCACTAGGGAAGGGGGATGCCAGTCTCTGAGACCAAAAATTGTGGATACATTCCCAGTGGCTGGAGAGGTCACGGATGGAATTTTTCAACCTGCTTCTGCATTTGATGTTGTTGTTGTTTAATCACTAACTCATGTCCCCCAGGTTCCTCTGCCCATGGGATTTCCAGGCAAAAATACTGGAGTGGGTTACCATTTCCTTCTCCAGAGGATCTTCCGAACCAGGGACAGAACTCACAATCTCCTGCATTGGCAGGTGAGCCCCCTGGGAAGTCCCTGCATTTGATGACAAGGAGCCTATTCTGGATGAGGGCAGGGGTCACCTTCTGTCCCCGTAATTCTCAGCAATTTCAGTGCTTGGGTTGGATCGCACCAAAGACCTGTAGTCCTGTGCCAGCTGGCCCCAGCTGATAAATATTTGGGGAAGAGACTTCCCTGGTGGGCCAGTGGGTAGGACTTCACCTTCCGATGCAGGGAGTGTGGGTTTGATCCTTGGTTGGAAAGCTAAGATCCCACATGCCTCTCCACCAAGAAACCAAAACATGAAACAGAAGCAATATTGTAAGAAATTCAATAAAGACTTAAAAAAAAAAAAAGGTCCACATAAAAAAAAAAACTAACAAAAAAAGAGATACTGGAGGTGACATCGTTATATAATCACATGTGTACACCTGGGCCAGACAATAAGCCAGTGAGCAGTAATGACCATCACCAGTTATATTCAAATCCCTCCTGGGTTTTAATCCTACCAGCTGTCATACATGCTGTGAACAGAGTTTGTATCCAGTTTTACATTTGTGTTTATTTAAGAAATCTGATGCTGGGAGGGATTGAGGGCAGGAGGAAAAGGGGACGACAGAGGATGAGATGGCTGGATGGCAATACCGACTTGATGGGCATGAGTTTGAGTAAACTCCGGGAGTTGGTGATGGACAGGGAGGCCTGGCATGCTGCAATTCATGGGGTCGCAAAGAGTCGGACACGACTGAGAGACTGAACTGAACTGAAGAAACCTCACTACAAAAATAACTTAGGGCAGTAGCAGCAGTGTCCTTGAGAAATTTTTTTTTAAAAGAGCTCCTTTGCCAAATTTGAGAAGCCCCAGATGGGCCCGTCTGTGAAATGGTATTTCAAGCGGTGGCACTTCAATCGAAAACGGTTCTGGGCCTCTCTCTACCATACAGTTCCTGTCGTATCCCCTTTATGGTGGAACAAAGGATTCAGCTACTTTGAAGGGGGAAAAAAACGTCTGAAACTTGCTAATGTGCTTTTTTTGTTTTTCCTGGCCAGAAAAGCCCGTGCTGTTTCTGGACTGATCAAAAACAGGGTCGGGCGCCCTCTGCTGGACAAAGCAGTGAACGGCGGGTCTCCAATCAATCAAGCTAGAGGTGGTCGAGTAAGACCTTGAGGGCAGGCTAAGAAGGGAACTGGGGACTCGCCTCGGTCACAAAATTTAAAGGGATCCCCCCAAACTCAGTAAACCAGTAACATTATAATGCATTATTTTAAAAATCAAAATTAATGCCAATGGGAACTCCCTGGCTGATGGTCCAGTGGTTAGGATTCCACCCTCATTGCTGAGGGTCTGGGTTCAATCCCTGGTTGGGGAACTAAGATCTCATAAGCCACGTGGCATGGCCAAGGAAAAAAAGAAAAAGAAAAGAAAACAAAAATCAATGCCAATATCTCATGAAGAACAAAAGAGCAAAATTTTTAGGAATACACTTTGCAAAACCTGCCTCATTGGGACCAAACAAACTTTATTTATCAGGACTATCCCCACAGGCCACAATTTGATTATTTGATTTAAAAATAATAATGCATTAGAAATAAATTAATTTTTAAAGTGTAAAAGAAAAACTAAAAAAAAAAAAAAATTGCATTAAAATATTATCTGAGTCCTAGATTTTTTGGTGCCCCCTTTAGGCACTACCCCAGGGAGTGAGCGCCTGACCTGCCTCACACTAGTCTTGGCCTTGCGGGGCAGACACCTGAAACTTCAGGTTCTTCCCACGTTCATGTGATCCTCACTTTTCCAGGGAGGTGGGCAGGACTGTTATTAGCTCCAGGTAGGGAAACTGAGGCTTCAGACAGGCACAAGCCATGCCAGAGACAGTCAGCAAAAGAACCAAGACTAAATCCACTGTCTCTTCACAGAGATGCTTGGTTATCAATGAACTGGGGCAGGGAGCAGGGGTAGGTGGCCACAGCCTTTACCTTGCTGGGAGATTGTCACTGACTCGGCTGTGGTGAGCTCAGGCCTGGCTGTGCGCTTTGGCCCCACAGCTGTTGAGCTGCCCATGGAGGGTCCATGGATGGTCACTGCAGATTCAGACTCTGAAAGAATAAACATTTCCTGAGTGTCCTGTGGCCTAAGAACCAATGATAGTTGTGCTGCTGCTGAAAACAGGTAGGAAGCAAGTGCCATGGGCCACAAAGAAAAAACTGAAGACAAATGCAGTGAAAATATAAACCCACTAGTGTCTATGTTATTATATTACACGTTGTCTTTCAAAAGGAAGATTCGTAAGTGTTACAGACACACTGACCCCCAATAGGGACTTTATCTGAGGATGCAGAGACTAAAAAAGGGGCCGTATTCTCCCTTAATGTCTGCAACTAAAATCAGGCCCCCCCCCCAAAAAAGGCCGGGAACGAGAGAACTGGACCTGAGTCCATCTCCCTGCTAGTACCCAGTGCTGATGTACCCAGTATTTGAGAAAGGCCTTACAACAGCCTTCAGGGGCCTTGCTCTCCCATTTGACAGATGAGCAAAGAAAGGCTGCAGGGCCGACCCTCAAGGGTGGCAGAAGGCCGAGCCCCACCTGTGAGGCAGCTTCTCATGTCCTTGGCCAGCAGCATGCCGTCGGGGCAGGCGCAGGTGAACTTGGGTGAGCGGGGGTTGATCTGTGGGGCCGGCAGACACAGGTACTGGCAGCCACCATTGCGGAGGGCCGTCCTCTCACACCAGTTCACCCCTGCGGCGGGAAAAGGCAGGGAGGCAGGACGAGAATGAGGTCAGAAAAATTCTGGAACATTCCAGAGCACAGGCAGAGAAGTGAAGGTAATGGGGGAGGCCACCCCATCTTTACCTCTCGGCTGTGTGAGGTTGTGGAAAAGGACAATGTCCTCCGGAGATAACAGGTTTTCTGCCATCAGGTTGATGTCTGAGCCTGTGAGGCGGTTGGCACTAAAAATGGCTTCGTTGATAATATCGGTCCAAAATACTTTATCCTACAGAGGCATAAGGAAAATGACATATCCCATCAACCATAGGGGACATGACCACTGGTTCCACACCCCTCCAAATGGGTCCACGGGGGTGGGGGTGGCAGGGCGAGGAGCAAGGAGAAGTCACAGGTGATGCTGGGGGCTTTAGGACTTGGGCATTCTGCTCCCCAAAGGAGGAAGGGCCCCACTCCGAGGACCCAGCACTGGGGAAAATCATCGGATCCCCCCCAGCTCCTGCCCCAACTTGCAAGCCTGAACTGGATGCAGGTGTCGGGGGAAGAGAATTGAATTTGGGGTTATAAACTCTCAACAGAGCCCCCTGGCCATCTCTCTCTTCCAGAGCCTTTTTTCTTTAAAATTTTGTTAATTTAAAAAAAGGAGTGATTGCGTGCCCCCAGCCCCCACCTCAAAGATGGCCAAGGAGAAAGGGTGCGCCAGCTTCTTCTTATCCTCCAGCACGGTCCTCCGGTTGCCCCCATTGACGTCGATGCTGGAGATGGAGTGCAGTTTGGAGTCGACCCAGTAGAGGCGGCCGCCAGAAAGATCTAGAACCCACAGTGGGGGCAAGGAGAGGTCACAGGTGATGTCCGAGCCTTGGGGCTTGGGCATCCCGCTTCTCGCAAGAGGGAACCAACCCCCCACCCAACTGGACCCAGTGCCTGAGAAAGCCATTCAGATCCACACCCGCCTCCCACCCAAACCGCATGCAGGTGTGGTGTGGGGAGAAGGGAGCTGAGTTTCTGGTGCTACACTCTCACGGAGCTCCCTCGCCATCTCTCCTCCAGACCCTGCCTGACCCCAAGGACTACTGTACCCCTAATGTACCCAGAGTGATGCCATTGGGCCACTGGATGTCCTCGGTCACCAGCGAATAAACGTCCACGCCGTTGAGGCCCCCCTTCTTGATCTCAGCAGGGGTGCCCCAGTCGGTCCAATACATGAAGCTAGGGGGGCAGCAGGAAGGACAGACAGGAGGACGTCAGGGAGCGAAGCTGTGACCACCCGGAAGGGCTGCTCTCCCCCCGGCATCAGCCTGGCCAGGACCGCCCCCCCTGCCCTCCCGCAGTCCCTACTGGGGGAAGCCCTGGATGGGTTCTTTCTGGTCCCCTAACTTAACTTGCTGCTCCCTGGCGGCTCAGGTGGTAAAGAATCTGCCTGCAGTGCAGGAGACCTGGGTTCGATCCATGGGTGGGGAAGATCCCCTGGAGAGGGAAATGGCAACCCACTCCAGTATTCTTGCTTGGAGAATACCATAGTCAGGAGCCCGGCAGGCTACAGTCCAGAGGGTCGTAGAATCAGGCTCGACTTAATGACTAAACCCCACCAACCTTGCCGGTTCCAGGGCCTGCAACCTGGTGAGACCCGGCAAGATTCAGGGACCTTTGAGAATAAAGGAAGATTTTCATTCCAGTGTTGGGACTGGGGCCCTGGAATCTGCTCTCTGAGCCTGAGGGTTTTATAAATTTGTTTTGGTAATTTTTTGGTTTTTTAAATATACACACACATGTATATACAAAGAGATTTTTTTACATTGTGGTGTTAATAAAATATACATAAAATCTACTGTTTAAACATTTTTTAAAGTACTAATTTATTTATTTATTCTTATTATTTTTTTTCAGGCTGTGCGGCATGTGGGATCTAAGTTCTCTGAATTGGGATTGAACCCATGCCCCTTGCATTGGGAGCACAGAGTACCAGCACTGGACCGCCAGGTTAAGTGTATGTTATCCTGCAGATAAATTGCAAGGACTCACATTCAAAGGCATTCAAAGCTATTCATGGCTACTTTGTATGAGGCAGGGGAGAAAAACTTAAATTTCCATGTGCTGGAGAGCAGTTTAAATAAATCACGGCCCATGAGGCTGAAGGAAAGGAAACTCATAGACCACATGGAAGAGCCAGGTGGCTGGTGCCTGCTGTTTAGGGGGAGAAATATAAGAGCAGAGCAAGTGATACAAGTCCAAGTGCAGTGTGTGTCTGGGAGGGTCTCTCTCTCCTGGCATCTGGACAGACCAGATGACCCTCCACCAAATGAGGGCATTAGTCTTGTTGGATGAAGGCCTGCTGGGCCCACCTGCATCCCAGGGTCCCGCCAATCTGAGCCGGGGACACTGTGCTAGGACAGCCAAGTGTGGCTTCGCCAACGTTTTTTCTCTGAGGCCCATTGCTCCCTCTCCTCCAATGACTGCAGCCAGAACAGGCTGCCCATCCTGGTGCATGCCACAGGGTGGAGACCTTCACTTCGTTTGCAAAAATTGTCGTTTGGCTAATGCTGGCCTTAAGTGTGTATGTGTTTTTTATTTTAAGTGTTCAGTATTTCTTAAGGACATTGTCTTTCTTGTTTTCATGGAACTGGGCTGTGTGTTCACTTGGGAGAGGTCTTGGGGATGTAGCGAACGGTCTACATCCCCCACCCTGTGCAAAGTTCAGATGATAAAATTCCCACCATAACGGAGCCTCTCCCACTGAGAGTGCAGGGGACGTGGGAAGACCCCACATGCTTCGGAGTTAACTAAGCCCATGTGCCACAACTACTGAGCCTGAGCTCCAGAGCCCAGGAATCGCAACTACTGAAGCCCATACACCTTGTGCTTCAAAACAAGAGAAATCACCACAGTGAGAAGACTGTGCACAACTAGAGAAAGCCTGCGCAAAACAATGAAGAGCTGAGGCATCCGAAAATAAGTAAATACATAAAGAAAAGTCTGTGCCCTCCCCCTGCCAAAAAAACCCACAAACAGAGCAAAAGCTAATCTGGTCTGATCTGGTCATCTGGTCTACCTAAGCCCAAACCTCCCCCCATTCGGAGTTCTAATCCATTTATGAACCCCACCCCTAGGAATACCCACCCGTGGACAGGATCCACCACAATGGCCCGTGGCTTGGAGCCTTCCTCCTGGAAAAGTGTCTTCCTCTTCACGCCTTTGGTGTCGGCCACGGAGACGGTGCCCAGGATGGAGTCGGTCCAATAGATGTTGCTGTGGATCCAGTCCACCGCCAGCCCGTCAGGGGCCTGGAGATCCTCGCCAATGATGGTGTCGTAGGAGGAGAAGCTGGGGGCTCCGTCAATCTGGGCACTGAGGGGAGAGGAGAAGGAAGAGGGGAGTGTCAGCTCCGGGGGCCCTCTGTCCACTCAGGGACTGGGGCTGCATGCGGCTGGGGGAGCGGGCAGGCTCACCTATAGATCTTCCTCTGGGACAGGTCAGACCAGTAGATCCTGTTACTGGCCACCTCCGTGTCCAGGGCGACCACATTCTTAAGGTTGGGGATAAGGCTGGTGTACTCACTTCGGTCCAGAGTCATCTTCCTCACTTCGTGGCGGTTGGTGAAGAAGAGGTAGGCGATGGTGCCTGGGGAGCGGGGAAGGAGGGGGTTCAGAGGAGTGGAAGGGACTCTGACCTCCAGAAACATGGGATCCCTTGATTTAGGTGCTTCTAAGAATCACTGCATGGTTGCAGTTCTAATCTAAACTTCAGGTAGAAGAAATTCAATGATGTCTATTTGTTTCATTGCATGCTAAATTGATTTAGTCCTCTTTTCAACCCCAAGGACTATAGACTGTCATGCTCCTCTGTCCACAGGATTCTCCAGGCAAGCATACTGGACTGTGTTGCCATTTACTTCTCCAAGGGAACTTCCCCACCCAGGGATCAAACCCGAATCTCTTACATCTCCTGCATTGGCAGGCAGGTTCTTTACCACTAGTGCCACCTATTTTGTTTCATTATGAGGTATTATATTTTGGTCTCTTTTCAGTGGATTTGCTTTTTTCCCCCTTCTCTCTCTCTCTCTCTTTTTTTTTTTTAGCCATGCCACATGCAGGATCCTAGTTATTGGACCAGGGATCAAACTGAAGACCCCTGCATTGGAAGCACAGAGTCTCAACCACTGGATCACCAGGAAAGTCCTGGACTTACTTTTTTCGGCATAAATTCCTTTTGCTGGGGCGGGTATAGGCTGTCTGGCTGATGGCTTCCCATCTCTTGTCCCCTGAAGCCCCTTCAAGATCAGAAGCTGCAAAGCATCCCTGGTGGGATTGATCTGCATCTTCAGAGCGTGGGCAGTCACCTAGCCTGACTGCTAACTGGGCTGTGTGTTCACTTGCCAGATGTCTCAGAAGCAAACGGTCTACCCCAGGGTGCAAAGTTTGGATGATGAAATTTCCACCACATGGGCTACCCCTCATGCCACCTCCCTGCACTTACCCACAGCCTTGCAGGCCTTGGTGAGGGGCTCCAGCTGGAAACCCTCTTCGCACTCGCATTTGTAGCTGCCCTCGAGGTTCACACAGAGCTGGCTGCAGGTGTCAGGGTTTTGACATTCATCGATATCTGAGAGTTGGGACAGAGAGAGAACTTGGGCATCTTCCCAGCAGGGTGCAGATGGAGCCATGGGCTCTGATCAAGAGCCACGCCTCCCTGTGGCAAATGGCAGACAACCCATCCCCTCTCGGGAAAACCTTCAGGACAGGAGGCTCTGACCAACAGGTTTTTTTTTTTTTTAATTTTATTTATTTATTTGGTTGCACCGGGTCTTAGTTGCAGCACGTGGAATCTTTAACTGAGGCATATGAACTCTTAATTGCAGCATGTGGGATCTAGTTCCTTGACCAGGGATCGAACCTGGGCCCCCTGCTTTGGGAGCGTGAAGTCTGAACCATTGGAAGTCCCTGATCACGGAAATCTTGAAAATGGCCAAGCATCATCTCTAACAGTGACCATAATCTCACCATTTACTTCAGGGCACAGTCAACTGGGCAAAAGTTGCATCAGCTGAGATGTCTTTCTTAATTATTAATCCCCAAAGGCCAAAAGCAAGTGCTCCCCAAGGGCCAAGCTGGCGACAGCTGGCTCAAGCACCTGGCCTCCTACCAGCCCTGTGAGGAGGAAATGGCACCTGCACCCACTTCACAGATGGGAAAACTGAGGCTGAGGCTTTGACCCCCCTCTTCTTCCAAGGAAAGGGCCAGGGGCTTGGGAATCACCTTCACATCTGTGCTTGTCCACTAGCTGGAAGCCTTCAGGACACAGGCACTCGTAGCCAATCTTGAGGTCGTTGCAGATGTGAGAGCAGCCTCCCTTGTTGTCCAGACACTCGTTGGTCCCTGTGCCAGATGCGGGAGGGGCACCGGTCACACTCTGGCCTCCAGCCACCCCTCCCCCAACATCCTGCACTGTTTCTCCCTCATTATAACCAACACGATGACTGCATGGCTGGTGAAGTTACCATGACTCCTAAGAAGTCTAAGAGCCACTGTCACATGTGACATCATGAATGAACCATGCAATTGTTGTCGATGTTTAGTTGCTAAGTTTTGTCCCACTCTTTGCGACCCCATAGACGGTAGCCCACCAGGCCCCTCTGTCCATGGGATTTCCCAGGCAAGAATATTGGGGTAGGTTGCCATTTCCTCCTCCAGGGGATCTTCCCAACCCAGGGATCGAACCTGAGTCTCCTGCAATGGCAAGTGAGCCACTTTACCAGACTGAGCCACTAAGGAAGCCCTATGAGGGTGTTACAGTGAGTGAAATAAGCTGGGTACGGAAGGACAAATACTGCACTATTCCACGTGAGGCCCCTAATGGGGTCATATTTATAGAGACAGAAGGTAGGAGGGTGGGTGCAGAGGTTGGGGGAGGGGGAGTTAGTGTTCAGTGCGGACAGAGACTCAGTTCTGCAAGATGAAATAGTTCTGGAGATGGATGGTGGTGAATGAATACTGTGAATGTACTTAAAACATGCCTGAACTCTACACCTAAAAATGGCTAAAACCATAAATTTTGTGGGTTTTTTTTTAACCATAATTAAAATTTTTTTTAATTATAAAAAATAAAAGCCACATATCACTTACTACAGTTACATGTATTAACTCACTTAATCCTCCCTACAGGAAATGGCAACCCACTTCGGTATTCTTGCCTGGAGAACTCCATGGACAGAGGAGCTTGTCCATGGGGTCGAAAAGAGTTGGACAGGACTGAGTGACTAACACACACAAAACCCTCCTTATGACCTTAAAAGGCAAGAGAATTATAGCTGGGAAAATCGAAGCATGGCCAGGTTAAACAGTTTGTTTAAGATCACATGGCTTGATGCAAACCTAGGGTGCTGGGCTCCATAATCCATGCTCTTACCCTCTATACTAAGCATGGACCAAAGCCAGCCCCAAACCTGCTCTCTGACAGCAGAGAATGGTTTTTACATTTTAAAATAGTTGAAAAGAAAATAAGAATCAAAAGCAAAATATTTCAAAAGTTCTATGAAATTCGAGTGTCTGTATCCATGATAGAAATTCCCTTGGAGTATGGCCCTTGGCATTCAAATGCACGTGTATGGGCTTTGGGTGCTTTCCTGCTCCAAAGGCCAAGCAGAAGAGCTGCAACAGAGACCCTATGGCTTGGAAAGTCCAAATCATGGGTCACAGTGTTGCTGAAAATACTTGCATCACCTGATCTCCAGCAGCCCTAAGATGTCTGGGAAGTTACTGCCCCATCTTACAGATGGGAAAATTGAGGCTTAGAAGCCAATCCACTTATCCCCAGGCTCCCCCAACTAACATCTGTCCAGCCCCAGAGTCACAGCACTTGGGGGCTTGGGCAGGGCTGGCCCCTCAGAGCACCACAGCACCCACGTTTCAGGTGCCCACACCCCAGGGCTCACCACAGTCCTTGAGGGGCTCGTCCGACCAGTCCCGGCAGTCCCTGACGGAGTTGCACACTTTGTCCAGGGAGATGCACTCACCGCTTTGGCACTTGAACTTGTTGGGCCCCTCACAAAGAGTCACTATGAGAACCACAGAGGAGGGTCAGGTGCTTCCAGGACACCGAGGTGGCTTAGTGCTTTTTATTAATATTATTATTTATGCAAGAATAGATACAAATGTATTTGGTGGTAAAACAGAATAGTTACTAATCATACATGAAGCCTCCATTCAGCGTAAGAATTAGAATATCACAAACAGCAGGGGCTGGTAAACTCTGGCCTGATGCCTGTTTGTTTAAATAAAAGTTTTATTAGCACACAGTGCTGCCTATTAGTTTATATACTGTCAGTGGCAGACTTCATGCTATAATAGCAGAGTCAAGTAGATATAATGAGACTATGGCCTGCAAAGCTGAAAATTCTTACCCTCTGGCCCTGACCTAAACTATTATAGTAGTCTATGCCATCCCATTCTACTACCCCCAGAGGTAATGATAATCTTGAATTTTGATTACCGTTTATTTTTTCATTAATAGTTCTATCAAACATATATGAACAATCTACTGTTGAATTTTGCTTGTTTTTGAGTCTTACTTAATAACTGTATCCAGTTAAATTTCTGCAATTTCCTTCTTGCTTGCAACCCCAAGGTTATGAAGTTTGCCTGGGCTGCAGACAGAGGCTGCAGCCTCATTTTTCTCAGCTGTATGATATTCCACTCTGTGATGATGCTGCCGTTTAAAATTATTTCCATGCAACCCTGTTCACAGCAGCACTATTCACAACAACCAAGGGGTGGAAGCAACCCAAGTGTTCATCCACAGGTGACTGAGTAAACAAAATGTCGTCCATCCATACGATAGAATATTATTTTGCCTTAAAAAGGAAGGAATTTCTGACATCTTCTGTAACAGGGATGCACATTGAGGAAATGATGCTAAGTGAAATAAACTCATCACGCAAAGACACATTTGTGATTCCAGTTACATAAGGTCAAATACTAGAGGAGTGGAAATCATAGAGACGGTAGAATAGTGGGTACCAGGGGCTCGAGGAGGGAGAGTAGGGAGTGAGTGTATAATGGGAACAGAGTTTTAATTTGGGAAGATGAAAGAGTTCTGGCAATGGATGGTGAGGATGGTGACTTAGCACCACTGGACTATACTCTTAAGAATGGTTAAGACAGTAAATTTTGTTACATGTGTTTTTTTGTTGTGTTAGCCACTCAGTCCTGTCTGACTCTTTCAGACACCATGGACTGTAGCCCATCAGATTCTCTAGGTAAGAATACTAGAGTGGGTTGCCATTCTCTTTTCCAAGGGATCTTCCCGGTCCAGGGATCGAACCCACATCTCCTGCGTTACAGGCAGATTCTTTACCATCTGAGCCACCAGGGTAGCCCATAGAAATACTTCACCACAATTAAAAAAAAAAAATTATTTTACATTAATTCTACTGCTGGGACTTCCTTGGTGGTTCAGTGGTTAAGGCTCTGAGCTTCCAATGCAAGGTACGTGGGTTTGATCCCTGGTCAGGGAACTAAGACCCCACATGTCATGCAACATGGCATATATATATATATAAACTAATTCTACTGCTGATGAACATTCTGGTTGCTTCCACTGTTTTGCTGCTGCTCCTTCCCCCACATCTCCCCACAGCCCAGGACCCAGGAGGGGTGGGGCTCACCGTTGACGCAGCCCAGCTCGTCACTCAGGTCCTTACAGTCAGGCTCCCTGTCGCACTGCCGGCTGCCATGGATGCAGGTCCCATCTGAGCACTGGAATTCATCAGGCCGGCACGTGGCCACAGCTGGGAAAGAAAGAGCCAAGTGTGGGGAATAAGAAAGGGAAAGCACCCTAACACAACTGTTACATTTTCTTAGATTTCTCTCCAGTCTGTCCTTGCATGCAGGAAATTCATTAAATGGCAGATCGGGGAATTCCCTGGTGGTTCAGCAGCTAAGACCCTGTGCTCCCAATGCAGGGGGCCCAGGTTCGATCCCTGGTCAGAAAGCTAAATCTCTCATGTCACAGCTAAGGCCTGGCACAGGTAAATAAATAAATATTAAAAAAAAAAAAAAAAAAAGCTGGCAGACCTAGTAGGCCACTCTTGGCAGAGAAGCAATGATGTGGTCCCAATCTAGATAGACTCCTGGCCAGGTAAGTTATGACGCTGCTGTTGTTAAACCTCTAAATTGTGTCTGACTCTTTGCGACCCCATGTGCTGTAACCCACCAGGCTCCTCTGTCCATGGGATTTCCCAGGCAAGAACACTGGAGTGGGTTGTCATTTCCTACTCTAGGGAATTAATATCTCGCTGACCTAGGGATCAAACCCAAGTTTCCTGCATTAGCAGGTGGATTCTTTACCACTGAGCCACCAGGGAAGCCCATTGCCCACCTCCCCCCCAAATAAGTCATTACTACTGAGTATCATACAGCCCTTCCAATGACTTAGACTGTGAACATGAAAAATGTTCCTGAGCTGACACTAAGTGAAAAGAATGATGTTTTGATGCAATCTTGGCAGATGCACGTGGTGACTAGAATAGGATCACTCTAACCACAGACTAGACCTTGACCTCAAACAGGTTTTCACTTAACCTGAATTCATTAAGCTCTAAGCTTATGCTTTCTGCACTTTCCTGTGGGTTATATTTCACTATAAAAATGCTGCCAATGTGAAAATCCAATGTCCAGAGGTCAGTGGAAAAAAGAAAGATGATAAATAAGTATGCAAATGTTTGGAACTTGTTTGTGTGTGTGTGTGTGTGTGTGCTCTTATGTCGTAACCCAAGTCCACCGAGGCCCACACTATTGCTCCATCTACAGGGGAGGAGATCAAAACACAGTAAGGCTAAGTCCCCGGCCAAGGGTCACACAGCTTGGACATCACCAATCAGGCCTGGATCCTTTCTGGACCAAAATAATACAGCATGCTGTAGTTTGCTCCTCTTGACAAGAGATAAATTAAATAGGGGTTTGAGGGGCTTCCCTGGTGGTATAGTAGATAAGAATTCGCCATCCAATACAGGGGACATGGGTTTCATCCGTGGTCTGGGAAGGTCTTCCACAGCACACAGCAACTAAACCAGCGTGCTGCAAGGACTGAACCTGTGTGCCTATGGCCTGTGCTCTGCGACAAGAGAAGCCCACAGACCACAACTAGAGAAGGCCCTCATGCAACAATGAAGACCCGACACAACCAAAAACTAAATAAATGAATTAAAATAATAAATTTTAAAAATAAATAAATAAACAGGCATTCAAAAGGGAACTCCTTTGGAAGACAGCTTGTCCTCTATGTGATCAGAAAGACCACTTGTCCTCTATGTAATCAGAAAAACCACTTGTCCTCTATGTGATCAGAAAGACTGAAAGGAACATGAAATGGGACCGCCTTTTGGTATTTTTTTTTTTAGGTGCTTATCATGTTTTATTGACACCATGTTGCCTTGAATATAATCTGAAGATATCTTTGGATATCATATTCTTTATGCAGAATATTAGCTCTTCCTTTTCTTGTATCTGAATCATTCCATCAAGGATTTATTATAGTTGGAGATAAGACCTTTGGAAGCAATGTCCCTTTTCTTTTTTTTTGATGGAGCTAAGGTATATGGGATCTTAGTTTCCTGATCAGTGATCCAAGCTCACCCCTGCATTGGAAGAGCAGAGTCTTAACCACTGGACCACCAAGGAAGTCCAGGACTGACTTTCTTATTGAGTGATGCGGAATCATTTAACCACCTAAAGGCACCGCCCCAGCCCCATCCCCTGCTGCGGGAGCCCCCAGCCTGGGTGAGGGGATTTCCGAGGCGCCCCTACCGCAGTTTTCCTCGTCAGACTGGTCCTTGCAGTCAGGATCATGGTCGCAATGCCAGCTGGAGTGGATGCACTCGCCACTGCCGCAGTGGAACTCGAGGGCCGAGCAGGGGTTGTTGTCCTGCAGGGGGCCTGATGGGTGGGGGCTCCCACAGTGCCTTGGCCACTCGTCTGAGCCATCGTCGCAGTCGGGGTCGCCGTCGCAGGCCCAGAGCTGGGGGATGCACATGGAGCTGTTGCACTGGAAGTTGGCGGGGCTGCAGGTGGGCGTCGGGCAGGACGCCTCATCCGAGCCGTCTAAGCAGTCCAGGTCTAAGTCACAGACAAACTTTGGGGCAATGCACTTGCCGTCACTGCAGCGGAACTCATCCTGGGAGCACGTCTTGGGGGCTGCGGGGAGGACAGGAGAGGACAGCCTGGTCACCAGGGAAACCGTTCCCCAATCCCAACTCATCGCACAAATGGGGACACTGAGCTGAGGAGAGGCCAGAGCGCAGTGAGTGGACTCCCGGCAGTGGTCAGGGGACCTGGCCGACAACCACCCAGTTCCTGGGCCCCCTCTGGGCCTCAGTTTCCTCATCTGTTCCTGCCTCAAAGCATTACTGTGAGGACTGGGGTGTAAAGGTACATGGGACGTATATTTAAGTTTGCACAGGGAACGATAGTCAATATCTTATAATAAATATAGTGGAAAAGAATAGGAAAAAGTATGTATGTGTGAGTGTGTATAACTGAATCACTTTGCTCTACACCTAAAACTAACCCAACACTGCACATTAAATATACTTTAGTTTAAAAAGAATGGCTGAGTGGAGTAGGAAATGGCAACCCACTCCAGTATTCTTGACTGCAGAATCCCATGGACACAGGAGCCTGGCGGACTACAGTCCATGGGGTTGCAAAGAATCGGACACAACTTAGGCACTTGAGCATGCTCGCAGGCAACTTATAATTAAGTGTTCCTTTACTATATTAAAAGGCTTCCCTTGTGGCTTAGCTGGTAAAGAATCTGCCTGCAATGCGGGAGACCTGGGTTTGTTCCCTGGGTTGGGAAGATGCCCTGGAGAAGGGAATGATGTAATTAAGGTAAAGAATGAGAGGTCTGGTCATCTTAGATTAGGGTGGGCCCTGAATCCAAAATGTCCTTGAAACAGACAGGAGACACAGACGCAGAGGAGAGACGCAGGGAGATGACCACGTGGAGACGGGGACAGAGACTGCAGTGACGTGCCGAGGCTGCCCAGGACCCCGGAGCGGGCGGGACGGAGTCCCCACAGAGCTCCCGGAAGGACCTTGCCCACGCCTTGATCTGGAATTTCTAGCCTCCAGAACTGAGTGCTCAAGCTCAGTCGCTCAGTCGTGTCCGACTCTTTGCGACCCCATGGACTGCAGCCTGCCAGGCTCCTCTGTCCATGGGGATTCTCCAGACAAGAATACGGGAGTGGGTTGCCATGCCCTCCTCCAGGGGAGCTTCCCAACCCAGGATAGAACCCGAGTCTCCTGCGTCTCATGCATCGCAGGCAGATTTTTTTACCTGCTAAGCCATCACCAAAACCAGAAAATCAATTTCTGTTATTTCAAGCCACACAAACACACACACACACACACACACACACACACATAAGAAAGCATCTAGACTCATCTTTTAAAATCACAAACCAGATCATGGCATTTAGAATAAAATCCAAGTTCCTCCCGAGGCCCTGATGGCCTGGCATGATCCGAGCCCTGCCCTCTTCTCTGTCCTCACTCCCATCTCTCTCCTGCCTGGATCCTTGACCCATGACTCACTGGTTTTCTTGCTGGTCTCCTCACCCACTCAGCATGTTTCAGACTGGAGAACTCTGACTTAGGATTCCATCTGCCTGGAGTGCTTTTGAACCACGTATTTGCAAATGNGACCCTGAAAGTTCTGACCCCACGAAGACACCTTTGCGTCTGCGCAGCCCCAACTTCTCCAACCACTTAAGAGGTAATTAACTCCTGCAGCTTCCTGGTGGGGGATAGCGTTACTCGATCCTAATTATTCATACAGACAGAAAACAACAACGCTCAACAGATTTTGACAACTTAAAAAAAAAAAAAAAAAAAAATGCTGCTGTTACTTTATTTGCTTGTTTTTATTTACAATGACATTGGACTTTTTGAAAGTGAAAGTCGCTCAATCGTGTCCCATTCTTCGACCCCATGGACTGGGCAGTCCATGGAATTCTCCAGGCCAGAATACTGAAGTGGGTAACCTTGCCCTCTTCCAGGGGGTCTTCCCAACACAGGGATTGAGCCCAGGTCTTCAGCATTGCAGGCAGATTCTTTATCAGCTGAGCCACGAGGGAAGCCCAAGAATACTGGAGTGAATAGCCTAACCCTTCTCCAGGGGATCTTTCCAACCCAGGGCCTGAAACCAGGTCTCCTGCATTGCAGGCAGATTTTTTACCAACTGAGCTATCAGGGAAGCCCATATTGGACTTTTTAAGTTGAAGTATAATTGACTTACAAAGCTGTGTTAGTTTCAGGTGTTCAACACAGTGACTCAGTGATTTTAGACAGCACGAAATGATCACCAATCTAAGTCTACTTACCGTGTGTCACCCTACAAGGTTATCACCATCTTATTGATTACATTTACCATGCTGTGCATCACACTCATTTTACAGGAGGAAGTTGGTTCCTATTAATCTCCCTCCTCTATTTTACTCATCCTCCCACCTCCTGGGTTTGATGGTACTGTTATTTTTTTTTTTAACTTCTTCAGTTTTATTGTACACACATGTCAATCTTTTTTTTTTCCCCCATTGCGGATGGAGTTTAATAAATTTTTTTAAAAAGTTGGATTGAAGTAGAGTTGATTTCCAATGGTGTGTTAATTTCTGCTCTACAGCAAAGTGACTCAGTTATACATACATGTATTCTTTTTCATATTCCTTTCCATCATAGTTTATCACAGAATATTGAATATCGTTTCCCTGCCCTATACAATAGGACCTTGTTGTTTATGTTGGTGTTATTAAAGAGTCAAAAGAAACAGTAATTATGTGAAATGATGAAGGTGTTAAATAACCCTATTGTGTAATCATTTCACAATATATATGTGCATAAAATCATCACACTGGACACTAAACTCACACCATGCTACATGTCAATTATATCTCAATAAAGCTGGAAGAAAAAATAAAACACTTGGAAAAGAGGCCCAATCCATTTTATTTTAAAATGTTCCCCAGTGAGAACCAAGGTTACATATGCATCTCTAAGCAAACACTCACTTTTGGGGTTGCTTTTTTTAAAAACGACTCTCTCAGGGGGTTTCATATTTTGTGAACTTGAAGATTTGATGTGATCTCAATTATTTAAATTTCCCCCAGGGTGTTTTTTTTTTTTCTAAGAGCCTTACTTTGTTTTAAAAAAAATCTACACAACTGGAAAAGAAATTCTAAATAATGAATAAAATCAAAGAGGCAAGACAGAACCAGCTGCAGAGTGCCTTCCCCTCTGAAACTCTCTATGGTTTGGAGCAAACTCTGACCTCAGCCAGGAACCCAGTCAGGTCACTTGGACACGGCTAGGATCCGCGGGCCACCAGACAAGGGACCCCACTTACGACAGCCTTCCTCGTCCGAGCCGTTCTCGCAGTCCACCTGGCCATCGCATCTCCAGGACTCTGGAACGCAGCGGATGACACGGCCCCCACAGCTGAAGTCCCCCATCTTGCAGGTGACAGACTCTACGGGAGAAAAAGAACTGAAGCTTAACTCAGAGGGAAGACCGACCCACCTTGCCACTCTGAGCTCTGCAAGGGAAGAACCCAGAGTTTTCTGATAGAAGTTTCAGGCCCACTTTTCTGGACCAAAATGAAGGAAATTTAATGGAACTTTTAAAAAATTAGTTGCTGAGGACTTCCCTGGGGGTCCAGTGGCTAAGACTCCGTGCTCCCAATGCAGGGGTCTGGGTTCAATCCCTGGTCAGGGAACTAGATGCCACATGCCACAGCTAAAGATCCCGCATACCACAAAGAAGACTAAAGGTCTTGCATGCCGAACTTAAGACCCAGCGCAGCCAAATAATTTTTTTTTTTTTTTAAGTTAGATGCTGGTTGTTGCAAAGGTTTTGGAATGAGATAGAAGTGGTGGTTGCAAAGCATTGTGAATATATTAATGCTACTAAACTGGTCACTTTTTTTTTTTAATTTAAAATTTTGGGGTAGCTTTTTTAAAAATCGAAGCACAGTTGATTTACAATGTTGTGTTAATTTCAGGTATATGGCAAAGTGACTCAGTTATACATGTGTGTATATATATATATGTTTTCTTTAGATTCTTTTCCATTATAGGTTATTATATTATAGGTTAAAATATTGAATATAGTTCCCTGTGCTATATGGTAGGTCCTTGTTGATTATCTATTTTATATATAGTAGTATGCATCTGTTAATCCCAAATTCCTATTTTATTCCTACCCCCAATGGCTTAATTCAGTGGTTAGGACTCCAAGCTTCCACTGCAGCTGTTATAGGTTCGATCCCTGGTTGGGAAACTAAGATCCCACAAACCACCTGGAGTGGCCAAGAAAACAAAAAACAAACACACAAAAAGGCTAATTCGTGAGACTTCCCTGGCAGGCCAATGGTTAAGACTTTGCTTTCTAACATAAGGGGTGACAGCTCTATACTGGTTGGGAAGCTAAGATCCCTATGCCTTAGAAGCCAAAAACCTAAATCATTAAGAAGCAATATTATAACAAATTCAATAAAGACTTTAAAAATGGTCCACCCCCTAAAAAAATAACAATCTTAAAAAAGGGCTAGTCTGTGTAACATGAACCACAATGAAAAAAAGAGCCTTTAAAGGAAAGTTCCAATAATATCGTCTCTGTGTGCATGCTAAGCGTTTCAGTCCTGTCCAATTCTTTGCGACCCCATGGTCTATAGCTTGCCAAGCTCCTTTGTCCATGGAAGAATACTAGGCAAGAATACTGGAGTGGGTTGCCATACCCTCCTCCAGGGGATCTTCCCAACCCAGGGATCAAATCTTTTGCACCTCCTGCATTCCAAGTGAATTCTTTACCTCTGACACACCTGGAAAGCCCAATATCTTCTCTGCCCATCTCCTAATTCATAGAAGAATACATTAGTATGCTTGTCAATTTCTACTAAGTCTGTCACCCAATATCATCAAAGCACTTTGCCATCCAACAGAAATTAACAGATTTAAAATGTTTAAGTGTAACACAACTACACTTAGATTTAAAAAAANGGGTTGCACAGAATTGGACACAATTGGAAGTGATTTAGCACACATGCATGCAAGCACTCTTAAAACACCCATTTCTCACTCCTAACATACAAGATCGAACTCATTTGTTTATCGAGGCCCCCAGCCTAGATTTAAACTCCTGGAGAGTAAGGAATGTCTTTTTCTTCCTTTCACCGTGAAACCGTCAGAGCCCAAGGCCTGAGTCAAAACAAGATTCGTTCAGCTGGTACGCCCCAATCAGGGACAGATCCATCATTTCACTGGGCAAAGATTTTGGAAAAGTGGAACTCTTCTAGTTCTATCTCTTTGGAGGGCAAGAGGGCAGAATCTGTCAAATTTTAAAGTGCAAAGTCCCTGGGACCCAGAAGAATTATTAACACAGATGTGTAACAATGTCAAGTTCAAAAAGGTCCAAAGCTTTTTTTTTCCCCACTGAGCAGTGTGGCTTGTGGGGTCTTAATTCCTCAACCAGGAATCAAGTTTCTGCCCCCTTCAGTGGAAGCTCGGAGTCCTAATCACTGGACAGTCAGGGAATTCCCTGTCCGGTTTCTTTTGCTCGAGTACATACTATTCATGTGCCGTTCTAGCTCAGGCACAACTAACCGATAATGATAGAAACTGGGCTTTCCTGGTGGCTGAGATGTCAAGAATCTGCCCGCAATGCAGGAGACGCGGGTTTGATCCTTGGGTCAGGAAAATCCCCTGGAGAAGGAACTGGCAACCCACTCTAGTATTCTTGCCTGGAGAACTCCATGGACAGAGGAGGCTGGCGGGCTACAGTCCATGGGGTCACAAAGGGTCGGACACAACTGAGCGACAAAGCACACAAACAGAGCAAAATAATCCTGACTGCATTTAGTTTTAGGTATCATGCTTTGATTCGGGGTCATTATTACATGTGAGCTATGATCACAGCAAACTTTTATTGTGAAAGTTGCTCATTCCAACTCTTTGTGACCCCATGGAATATGCAGTCCAAGGAATTCTCCAGGCCAGAGGACTGGAGTGGGTCAGTTAGTCATTTCAGTCACTCAGTTGTGTCAGACTCTTAGGGACCCTATGTATTGCAGCACACCAGGCTTCCAATAAACTTTTATTGGTTGATAATAAAATTGGTATCACTCCTTTAATCTTTAAATATAGACTTTGATCCCCTTCGTAATCTAAAGTAACACAGTTAATAAAAATTATGATCCAGTTCATCTCAGGATAAGGAAATAAGACCAAGAAAGAAGAAGCTAGCAGAAATTTCCTCATGAGTCAGATATTCTGAAGGCAAATGATATGTAAAATGTAAATTCAGGCTGATGGCTACATTTATTATATTTTTCACTACTCTCATAAGAAGATTAAGAACGTTTATTCTTTTATCACTTTATTTTGAATGTTGACCCTAACAAAAAAAATTAGTTTAATAGTTTGCACAAAATGTATTCATTTGCCCATTTTGCACAAAGGCAATTAATGAACTCTTCGTGTGCAAGGCAGAAACTATGTCTCCAGAATTAGAAACTTCCAGACAAAAAGGACGGAAGATGGTAGATCCTTGAATGATTCTTCTCATGCAAGAAGTCTCTTCTTCCTTCATTCTGCATATGGGAAAAGAAGATTCAAGATCTTACATGCTTTGTGTCTTTTTATGTATTCAGATTTTTTCCCCTTGATATTCTCTTTAAGTGGACTTTCTGGGTGACCCAGATGGTAAAGAATATGCCTGCAATGCACGAGACACAGGAGACTTGAGTTTGATCCCTGGGTCGGGAAGATCCCCTGGAGGAGGAAATGGTAACCGGCTCCAGTATTCTTGCCTGGAGAATCCCATGGACAGAGGAGCCGGGTGGGCTACAGTCCATGGGATTGCAAAGAGTTGGACATGGCTGAGCAACTGAACTGAACTGAACTGAGTGTGGTCTTCACCAGTAAAAGCCTTGGCCTGGGAGCCCAGAATATGTGTTCCAGTTCTGGCTCAACCTCTTATCTGCTGAGTGTCCTTGGGGAGATTGCTTAACCTCTCTTAACCTGTTTCCTCATCTATAAAAAGGAGAGGATAATAAATTCTCAATCTCAAAAAGTTGCTGTGAGAAGTAAATGGGTTAATACATGTCCTCCTTCATAAGACCTGCCTGTAAGTGTTCCAGAAAGGTTGGCCATTGCCGTGGCCAAGTCACCATTGTGTGCAAGTTATCATTTCTCCAAGAAACTCGAGTTTCTTTGCTGTAAAANTTTTTTTTTTAGTTCTACCAGTTTATTGTTACCAACCCATCTCCCTCCACCCTTGTGCACACATGCTTAGTCATGTAACCCCATGGACTGCAGCCCGCCAGGCTCTTCTGTCCATGGATTTTTCCAGGCAAGAATACTGGAGTGGGTTGCCATTTCCTTCTCCATGAGATTTTTAACTATAGTAGGAAGCCATCACAAATAACAAGATATTTTAAAATGTTGTGTGTTTGATTTTTATCTCACCTTTTTAAACATATCTGCTTTTCTGTATAATTATGGTTTTTACTGTACACCAGATGATAGCATAGGTATATGACAAATAATTATATTAAGGAGAACATGATGGATCTGGTAAAAAAAAATTTCACAACCTCAGATCCCAAAGCTCTGCAGTCCCTTCTGGTACAACACTCCCTCCTGGCTCCCTCCTCTTTACTTGGCTAACAGTTCAGCTTTGAAGCTCACCTTACCTGAAGCTGGGTTTAGCAGCCCGTGGGCTTCCCAGGTGGCGCTGGTGGTAAAGAACCCACCTGCCAATGCAGGAGATGGTTAAGAGGCGAAGTTTGAGCCCTGGGTCAGAAAGATCTCCTGGAGGAGGGCATGGCAACACACTCCAGTATTCTTGCCTGGAGAATCCCATGGACAGAGGAGCCTGGAGGGCTGCAGTCCATGGGGTTGCACAGAATTGGACACAATTGGAAGTGATTTAGCACACATGCATGCAAGCACTCTTAAAACACCCATTTCTCACTCCTAACATACAAGATCGAACTCATTTGTTTATCGAGGCCCCCAGCCTAGATTTAAACTCCTGGAGAGTAAGGAATGTCTTTTTCTTCCTTTCACCGTGAAACCGTCAGAGCCCAAGGCCTGAGTCAAAACAAGATTCGTTCAGCTGGTACGCCCCAATCAGGGACAGATCCATCATTTCACTGGGCAAAGATTTTGGAAAAGTGGAACTCTTCTAGTTCTATCTCTTTGGAGGGCAAGAGGGCAGAATCTGTCAAATTTTAAAGTGCAAAGTCCCTGGGACCCAGAAGAATTATTAACACAGATGTGTAACAATGTCAAGTTCAAAAAGGTCCAAAGCTTTTTTTTTCCCCACTGAGCAGTGTGGCTTGTGGGGTCTTAATTCCTCAACCAGGAATCAAGTTTCTGCCCCCTACAGTGGAAGCTCGGAGTCCTAACCACTGGACAATCAGGGAATTCCCTGTCCGGTTTCTTTTGCTCGAGTACATACTATTCATGTGCCGTTCTAGCTCAGGCACAACTAACCGATAATGATAGAAACTGGGCTTTCCTGGTGGCTGAGATGTAAAGAATCTGCCCGCAATGCAGGAGACGCGGGTTTGATCCTTGGGTCAGGAAAATCCCCTGGAGAAGGAACTGGCAACCCACTCTAGTATTCTTGCCTGGAGAACTCCATGGACAGAGGAGCCTGGTGGGC